TGGGTACTTAGTGCTTCATTAATGTGGCGTAATCACGGCATGTGACATCATGACAGGCGTTTTGCAACTTGTTCTCATTGCAAAACCCGGCCTTCTACTTAGCACGCTGGTTCTCACAGGTGCCAGAGCCCCCGGGCTCGGGGGCCCCCCGCACCTGCTTCCTTGGTGTCTGGGATCCTGTGGGGGTCCACGGGTCAGGGTCACACACATCTGAGACCCCAGGGGCCGCTGGTTCCCGGCTGGGAACCAGTGGAGAGGGCGCGTGTGTGTCCCAACTGTGCAGGCAGGCAGGGATGCCCACTCATGCCAGCGGCAGTCTAGGCCCTGAGCTGACGCTGCGGCCGCCAGGCTACTGGACACAGGGGTGGCCGCGCCCAGCAGGGCCAGCTCCATCCCCGGGGGTGCTCGGCTGGGTACGGGGGCCCCACTCCCGCCTTTCCCCGCTCCCTTGTCACCACCCCCGTTCAGACTTAAGCCATCCGGGTAGTGCAGTGGGTCTGACGTGTTGGTCAGCGTGGGCGTGTGCTGCACCGTGGACGGGCCGTGTGGGCGTGGATGGGCCACGTGGCTGTGTGTGTGTGTGCGTGCACGGCAAGCTCCCTAACCCCTGCACTATCTTCAGCCATTTTTCCCCTTTATATTGACTTTCTCGTTTTTCTGTCAGCCTGCCCCAGGCTTCTCTGGTCTGTTCCTCTCCACACCGCTAGATTCACACTCAGTCGCCTTCCCTCTACGCTGCAAGTTTCTGCCACTCTTGATGTGGCACCTTCTGGGCCGTCACTTGCTGTTCCCGTCCTCCCCAAGCCCCTGGGGTGCCAGCGTTGTGTCTCGTCTGTGGGTGCTGCTCCCGGGTTTCCTGAGGCCTCAGCATCTCTTCCTCCCGGCAGGCGCGTGCCGACCTTCCTGGACATCAGCCACTCTCGCCCGTGGCCCTTCTGCCGTGGCCTGGTTTAATAAGGACAGATCGTGGCCTCGAGCGTGCGACCGTTTCCTCTGTCTCTGCCACAGGAGCTGCTGTGCCTCTTACGCTTCTGCGGTCGACTGTCCCCACACCTGCTGGCCCCTGCCCTCTCTGAGTCCCACGTGGCACCCGCACTCTCCCTCTCAGACTCAGTGGCGCCGGGCGCTCTGTGCCCTCTCCCACTCTGTGAGCTGACCGGGTTCTGGTCTTCTGGTTTTGGTTCTGGTTTTCTGCCCGTGTTTTCCCCACGGGCTGCCTGTGCTCACACACAGCCCGGCTGAGCTCTGGGTGTGTGGCTGTCGTTGTCTCTGTTCCGACGATCTCCACAGCAGGCACTTCTGTGCCGCATGAATGAAATCTTTATGGGCAGGTGCCGTAGCTTGGCTCTGGGGCTGCACTTGGCTGGGCCCGGGGTCTGTTCCCCGACGGGGCTTGCCCCCTGCCGCCCTGTGGGCTGCAGGGACGCCTTGTCTCCCGGCCGCTCCGTCTCCGAGCTGTGCCCGCACTGGCCTCCACCACAGCCCAGCTGCACCCGTCTGTGGGCAGCCTGCCAGCCTGTTCGGGCCTGGCTGGGAGCAGCCGTGCTCAGAAGCACCCTCGGCTCTGCATGTCACTGTAGATGACCCTCGCCTTGGAGCTGCTGGCCAGCTCCCGGCCTGTCCCAGGCTGCTGGCCTCCGGTGCGCCTGCCCTTGTGTGGGTGTTGCTCCCTGGCCCATGCGTCCCTGGGGTCTCCAGATCTCACACTGGGCTGGGAGGATGCCCACCTGCCTGGGTGGACCCCCGGGGCTGCCTCAGAGCTGGATTTCTGACTGCAGTGGCCATGGCTAGCAGATAAGTACAGGCTGGGCCCTTGCCCTCGGAGCAGGGCAGAGCAATGAGCGGGGCACGCTGGGCAGAGAGTAGGGAGAGGGCACGGCTGGGGCACATCTGGGCACGCTTAGGGGTTTCTGTTGGGGTGTTAAGGACCAGGGTCGCTTGTGGGGCCCCATGGCTGCCCAGAGTGCAGGCCGGGGCGGCCAGGACCAAGCAAAGACCAGGCGGGAAAAACAGCAGGTGCGTCCATCCTGTGTGACACCCACCCCTGCACCCCGCCTGGGCTGGCTCCTCCCCACCCCGGCCTCCTCTTCCTGTCCTGCACCCGGACAGCCGTGTGCCCTGACCCCACTCAGGGGCTCGGGGGCTGGGGCCCCTCATGGAAATGTGAAGGCCCCGAGGGCCCCCCCACACACACCTCCAGGTAGGGTCCAGGTGGGGTCCTGGACCAGACAGAAGAGGCGCAGCCCCGGCCCCTCCTCCTGCTGGCCGGCCTAGGGACCTCAGCCTGTAGGGTCACGTGGCCCTGCTCTGTGTGTGTGTGTGTGTGTGTGTGTGCGCGCGCGCGCCAGGTTGGGGAGAGGGAGGCTAAGGGGAGCCTCCTCTGGCTCAGGCTCCTCCAGACCCGGGAGCCCTGTCCCAGAGCATCCGCAGTGCCCAGCATGCGCCTGGAGGGGGTGAGGCGGTGCAGGGCTCACAGGGTCCCGGTGTCTGGGCTCACACCTGCTCACAGGGGCCCCGGGGTCTGGACTCTTCCTGCCCTTTGTCGTGGGGCTGGACTGTGCTTGTGGTCACAGACCAGAGCTGCCAGGGTCCCAGGGCATGTGGGGACACCAGCGGTGGATTCATGACTGAAGCCTGCAGGGCAACACTGTAGCCCCTGAACTGTCCCCTGGACCCCAGACTGTCCATCCCTTTCATCGTGCACCACGCAGGCATGCACACACGTGTGCACATACACAAATATACACACATACACACGCACACGCATATACACATGTACACACATACGCACACACATGCACGCACACACACACACACACAGCCGGGCAGCTGCATGGGGGGGACAGGGGCCAGCGCCTTGAGCCAGGTGGAGTGGCCCTGCCCAGAGAGTCCCTGTGTCAGGCCCAGGTGCCCTCATCAGGGGCCGCCTTCAGGGAGGTTGCCCTGAAGGGTCCCACGGCCCAGGTGCCTCCGCACCAGCGGGAAGCCAAGACCCCCGCCCCCGGCTCCACTGTCCCCGTGCCACGGCTGCAGAGTTCCACCCCACGCCAGCAAGACCCGAGCAGCACCCTCGGGAGGCAGGAGAGCTGTCTCTTACGCGCGCACCCAGCAGAGCCCCCGCTCCAGAGCTGGGCCCGGACCAAGGGCGGGTGCCCCCTGCCCAGACTGTCTGCGGGCTGGGGCTCGCAGGCGGCTGGCACAGAGGCCGGAATTCCCACCGTGTTCTTCGGCAGAGCAGGCTCTGGGCATCCTGAGCACTCGAGCCTGTTGGAGGCTGTTCCCAGATCCCCCGGGTTCCAGCCATACCAGGACCTTCCCGAACACGCTCATGTGCTGTTGTGTCGCCCAGACTCAGCGCCCCAGCAGCTCCTGCCACTGCTGTCAGCCTGCCGAATGTGCGTGCGTGCGTGTGTGCGCTGTGTGCACGCGTGTGCGTGTGTGTGCGTGTATGTGTGCACGTGTGTATTTGTGTGTATATGTGTATGTGTGCGCGCGCATGTGTGTATATGTGTGCATATGTGTGTACGTGTGTGTATGTGTGTGCGCACGTGTGTGTTTGTGTGTATTCATGTGTGTGTGCGTGTGTGCATGTGCGTGTGTGTATGTGTGTGTGTGTGTGCGTGTGCATGTGTATGTGCGTGTACGTGTGTGTGTGAGTGCACATGCAGGGGTCTCTGATCCTGGTCAGGAAATGGGGGTGCAGGCATCACCCCTTGGGACAGGTGGCACTGTTGGGGTCTGGTGCCCCTCTGCCCGCCTCTTGCTCTCCAGTGCCTGTCACCGACCTTGGCCTGGTGCCCTGGGCTGTGGTCCAAAGATGTGTCACGATGGAGCCCCGTCCATCCCTTTCTAGTCTCCGTGCCACATATGAGGGTATGGTCTGTGTCCCCTGACCCGCCTCCCTTATCCAGGCACCCTTGTCCTGCCCCAGTAGCCGTGAGCTGCCAGATTCTCCCCCATGGCTGGGCCGTGTGCTGGCGTGTGCGCTGTCAGACCTCCTGTGTGCAGGTCTGGGCTGCTGTCCTTGGCACTGGGTGGGCATGGCCAGGCATGTGGGGGCCGGGCTTCAGGCTGGGCTTCACACACACCCAGAAGAGAGTTTGAGCCGTGTCGGAGCTCCTGGGCTTAGTGACCCTAGAAAGCGCCGCTGTTTCCCAGAGCATGAACCAGAACCAGGACAGAGGGGGCCCCTCTCTGCACCCACCCGGCCGTCTGTCTCCCCGAAACCCACCTGACCATCTCTGTCTCCCGGACCTCTGCACCGGCTGTGCCCTCTGGCCTTGCTCTGTATGGGTGACCACTCACTGTCATTTGGGTTTGCCTCTCCTGGTGGCGTGGTGAGACCTGTCCGTGGGCCTGCTGGCCGTCCTTGTGTCTTCTGTGAGGAAGCCGATGTGAGCAGAGAGCTGTGCTCACGAGCGGCTTGGGCACCCGCTGTCTGGGGGTTGCAGCAACCTGGCGGCAGGTTGGGACATCCCAGGAATCCTAGGAGCCCGAGGGCACCCTGGGCAGTGCCAGGCGGTGGAGAGGCGCTGCCCGTGGAGTGCCCGCTGCTGCCCCACCTCCATGGGCTTTGAGGCGTGTCCCACCCGGTGCCCGCCTGTGTCGTCCGGGGCTGCCTGCGGCCTCAGCAGTGCAAACGAGCTCCTGCAGAAGGCGCCCAGCCCAGGGCCTCGAAGGGCTTGTTCCCGCGCCCGTAGTTCTCTTGGCACAAGCTGGGTCCAGCCCTCCGTGCTGCAGTGGTCACTGCACTGTTCCCGCTGACCTTCAGCTCTGGACAGGGCCTTTGTCCTTGCTCAGCCCTGTCCTGGCTCTCCCTGTTAATGGGGTCAGGGTGGGCGTTCCTCAGCCGTGAGCCCCAGGACCTGTCGTGAGCCGAGACAGACCGGGGGGACACAGCCTGGGCTGCAGGCGGGGGCCTGACGGGGGGTCCTCAGGGGTGCCCAGACCTGGCGCGTCTGTCCGAGCACGTTCCCAGCCCCTTCCCTTCCCGCCCGCAGAATCCGACCCCAGCTCGCCAAGGAGAGGATCGAAGGATGTCACATCTGCACGTCGGTGACGCCCGGGGAGCCGCAGGTCTTCCTGGGCAAGGACAAGGCCTTCACCTTCGACTTCGTCTTCGACCTCGAGGCCGCGCAGGAGAGCGTGTACTCGCAGTGCGTGGAGAAGCTCGTCGAGGGCTGCTTCGAGGGCTACAATGCCACCGTCTTCGCCTACGGCCAGGTGCGTGCGCCGGGGCCTGCGGGGCGGCCGGCCTCCCCCGTGCTCCCGCCCGCTGACCGTCCCTGTCCGCAGACCGGGGCCGGCAAGACGTACACCATGGGCACGGGCTTCGACGTCAGCAGCTCGGAGGGCGAGCAGGGCATCATCCCGCGTGCCGTGCGCCACCTCTTCCGGACCATCGAGGAGAAGAAGAGCAGCGCCCTGCAGAGCGGGCTCCCCGCGCCCGACTTCAAGGTCAACGCGCAGTTCCTGGAGGTGAGCGCCCCCCTGGCCGGCCCCGTCCGGCGCCACCCTGCTCAGGGGCCTGCTTGTCCTTCCCCTCAGGCCGTCCAGGGCCGGCTCTGCCGTGAGTCGGTGGGGCCCCCGGGGAGGGGCTGGCTCCAGGGCTGGGTCTCCGGGGGCTCCCACCGATTCTGATCGGGCCATTTCCATCCCTGTTGCTCTTTTAATCACCTGGAGTAGAGAACTCGATTCACTTCACAATTGCATGAGATGCACCTGCTGGTTTTAACCTCCTTCCCGGCTTCGTGCAGGCGCAGGGTGGGCCCAGGGTGGGCTGCGTCTCCTGCCTCTCCCCAGAGAAGGTTCCGGGTGGTGCGGAATGAAAGACCTGTGTTCTGTCCCCACGCACCCTCCAGCGGGGGCCACTCTGCGTCCACGGCTCGCAGCGCCCTGCCGAGGGCCAAGCTCTCAGTCCTGGGCTCGCCGGGCCGGGACAGGCTGCCCCATGGTGCGCGGCCTCGGCCGCTGTGTGATGGCCCACCACTGCTCTCCCCTTGGAAGAAACGCCTATTTCTGTGCCTCTAATGGCTGTCCCGCCCGTGGGTGTGGGCAGCAGGTGGTCACCTGGGAGGTGCGGGCGGGTCCCTCAGCGGGGGCGTGGGCAGGGGGCTCAGGGGGCCGCGCCCGAGCTCGGCTGTGCTCCTTGCCGGCAGCTGTACAACGAGGAGGTCCTCGACTTGTTTGACACCACCCGCGACATGGACTCCAAGAACAAAAAGTCCAACATCAGGATCCACGAGGACTCGGCCGGGGGCATCTACACGGTGGGCGTCACCACACGCACCGTGAGCACCCAGGCGGAGGTGAGGCTTCCCCGCCCCCGGGGTCCGGGACGCGGCCCCGTCATCAGCCCGGCTGAGGTCCGCCTTCCAGACCCTTGGCGTTTGGGGCTGGGCATGGCGCCGCGAGGCTGGAGGGTCGGCTGCTGTTCTGGGGGCCCGAGACGTGCCCGGGGTCCGCGGAAGGGGAGGGCGAGATGCGCTGCAGGGCCTGGGGGACTCACGCGCTCCACCGGAAGACGCAGGGCTCAGGGATGTCCCAAGCGTCCCTCCTCCCACAGCCCTTCCCTGGCTGGGGCTCAGGCTCGGGCACGACTGTCCCCACCAGCGGCGGCCGTGTCCCCCTGTGTGTCCCCATGTCCCCGTGTGTCCCATGTGTCCTGTATGTCCCCTTGTCCCTTGTGTCCCTGTGTGTCCCCGTGTCCCATGTGTCCCCATGTTCCCATGTGTCCCCGTGTGTCCCCCTGTGTCCCCGTGTCCCTTTGTGTCCTCGTGTGTCCCCATGTGTCCCTGTGACCGTATGTCCCATGTGTCCCGTGTGTCCCCGTGTCCCATGTGTCCCCATTCCCCATATGTCCTTGTGTGTCCCCATGTATCCTGTGTGTCCCCATGTCCCCGTGTGTCCCATGTGTCCTGTATGTCCCCTTGTCCCTTGTGTCCCTGTGTGTCCCCGTGTCCCATGTGTCCCCATGTTCCCATGTGTCCCCGTGTGTCCCCCTGTGTCCCCGTGTCCCTTTGTGTCCTCGTGTGTCCCCATGTGTCCCTGTGTCCGTATGTCCCATGTGTCCCGTGTGTCCCCGTGTCCCGTGTGTCCCCATTCCCCATATGTCCTTGTGTGTCCCCATGTGTCCTGTGTGTCCCCTTGTGTCCCCATGTGTCCCCATGTGTCCTCGTGTTCCCTCATGATGGGGTGGTTGGGTCCCCTCAGCAGGTCACCCCATATGTTCCCTGACTGTTGGGGTGGCCCGTGGGTCCCCTCAGCACCAGTACTCCCTTGGGCCCCCTCAGAGCGATGTCCCCTGTGTCCCCCCCACTGCACGGGAGGCCCTCATACTGCACATGTGTATGTGTGTGGACATGTGTGTCCTCATACTGCACATGATGCCCCCTTTGTCTGGCTCTTGATCCCGGCCCCTTGTGTCCAGCTCACACATGGCGCCCCCTTGTGTCCGGCTCAGTCTCTGCATCCCCGTGTGTCCGGTTCACAGGCGCCCCCTTGAGTCCAGCTCAGTCTCTGCACACGGTGCCCCTTTATGCCCCCGGCACCGCCCTGAGCTTGTGCCTGAGCCCACTCGCACCCTTGCAGATGATGCAGTGCCTGAAGCTGGGCGCACTGTCCCGGACCACGGCCAGCACCCAGATGAACGTGCAGAGCTCCCGCTCCCACGCCATCTTCACCATCCATCTGTGCCAGACCAGGATGTGTCCCCCGGCGGAGGGGGTGAGTGCCCGGCGGCCCCTGGGGAGGCAGCTGGGGGTGCCGGGCCGTCCCCGCGGGCGAGGTGCCGGGGGGTGCGGCTCCTGCTGAGGCAGTGCTTGGCGGGACGGAGCAAGTCGGGATATCTTGGATCGCAGGAAAACACGCCTGATAACAAGGAGGGGTCCGAGCCGTCGCAGATGAATGAGTTTGAGACGCTGACAGCCAAGTTCCATTTTGTGGACCTGGCGGGGTCCGAAAGGCTGAAGCGGACGGGGGCCACGGGCGAACGGGCCAGAGAAGGCATCTCCATCAACTGCGGGCTGGTAAGGAGGTGCCTGCCTTCCCCGTGCTCCTCTGTGGGCTGCCCCGGGGCCCGGGGTCCCATGCCCTCTCCCCACCTCCCCAGGGCTCTCCCTTTGGCCAAACACCTGTGCAAACAGGGATACGAGTTTAAGACCCTCCCGGCCCCCCGAACTGTGTCACCCACAGCAACCCTAAGTGCTTCTGGGATGGCTTTGCTCACACGCGGTTCTGCTCCCTTTGGTTGGAGACCCCCTTTTGGTGCCTGCATCTCCGGGAGGACACTTCCCACCCCCACCCTTCGGGGAGGGGCTTAGCCTCCTGAGCACCCCGGTGGCCGCTCTGAACCTACAGCGTCTTTAGACCCACCTGCTGCACTGCTGGGCAAGACCCCATCAAGGATCTTTAGCACTGTCCTCCCGTTGTTCATCGATTTGCTCGAGCGGGCCCAGTAACGTCTCCATTGTGAGACTCCTTGTTACTGTGTTTGGCAGGTCGAATGTGCCATGGGGAGCTTGCCAGGCTTGGCCTTGCAGGAGGGATACTCTCCGTAGCGTGCCGGGCTCTCCGAGACGGGTGGAGGAATCGAACCTGGGTCGGTCGGGTCGTCCGCGTGCAAGGCAAACACCCTACCTGCTGGGCATTCGCTCCAGCCCTGTAACTTTTATGAAAAAAAACCTTTAAAAGTTTTGGGCCCGCTCGAGCAAATCGATGAAAAACGGGAGGACAATGCTACAGTGCAGTTAAAAGTTTCTTAAGATGAATTTCCTTATGGTTTATGATCAGCAGCTGTTTGGTTTGTGAGCCTAGTTGTGTACCTGTTGACCCGGGCACACGGACATTTCTCGGGTGGGAAGGGGCCACAAGTGAGAGCACTTATGAAGCCCCGGTCTGGCTGGCGCAGGTGGGGAATGGCCGCCCTGCAGAGGGCCTGGCACAGCCTGACGGAATGTGCCAGAAGTGCCGGCCACGTGTTTGCTGGGGCAGGTCAGAACTTGTTTCCCGACGGCCACGCCTTGGGCTCTCGGCCTCAGCAGACTCACGTGTCTTCTCGTTCAATGAGATTCCCTTGAGAAGGCAGCGGCTGCCCCCCCCACCGACCCTTCTCATGTTCCTAATCTGGAGCCTTTATCGCGTCTCTGCAGCTGGCTCTGGGCAACGTGATCAGCGCTTTGGGGGACAAGAGCAAGAGGGCGACCCACGTGCCCTACAGGGACTCCAAGCTGACGCGGCTGCTGCAGGACTCACTTGGCGGCAACAGGTGGGTCTGCTGTCGGGGGTGAGCTCGGGCATCCTCCTGGGCTGTCAGCTGTGAGTTTGGGTGTCCGCCTGGGCTGTTGGGTGTGAGCTTGGCCATCCATCTGTGCAGTCACGCGTGAGCTTGGGCGTCTGCCTGTGCTGTCGGGTGTGAGCTTGTCTGTCCTCCTGTGTTGTCACGCATGAACTTGGGCATCCGCCTGTGCCGTCGGGTGTGAGCTCGGGCATCCACCTGTGCTGTCAGTTGTGAGCTTGGCCGTCCACCTGTGCTGTCACGCGTGATCTTGGGCATCCTCCTGTGCTGTCAGTTGTGAGCTTGGCCGTCCACCTGTGCTGTCACGCGTGATCTTGGGCATCCTCCTGTGCTGTCAGTTGTGAGCTCGGCCGTCCACCTGTGCTGTCACGCGTGATCTTGGGCATCCTCCTGTGCTGTCAGTTGTGAGCTCGGCCGTCCACCTGTGCTGTCATGCGTGATCTTGGGCATCCTCCTGTGCTGTCAGTTGTGAGCTCGGCCGTCCACCTGTGCTGTCACGCGTGATCTTGGGCGTCTGCCTGTGCTGTTGGGTGTGAGCTCGAGCATCCACCTGTACTGTCAGGTGTGAGCTTGGCTGTCCGCATGTGCTGTTACTCATGAGATTGGTCATCCACTTGTGCCATCGGGTGTGAGCTCAGGCATCCACCTGTGCTGTCGGGTATAAGCTTGGCCATCCGCCTGTGCTGTCACGTGTGAGCTCGGGCGTCCACCTGTGCTGTCGAGTTGAGCTCGGGCATCCACCTGTGGTGTCACACGTGAGCTCAGGCATCTGCCTGTGCCATCTGTTGTGAGCTCGGGCATCCGCCTGTGCTGTCGGGGGTGAGCTCAGGCGTCCGCCTGTGCTGTCAGGCGTGAGCTGGGCGTCCACCTGCTGTCGGGAGAGCGCGTGTTCCTTGAGGGCTGGTTGCACCGTTCTCGCCCTGCGGAGCCTCTGCCGATGCTCTGTGCCCCTGACTTCCAGCCAGACCGTCATGATCGCCTGTGTCAGCCCATCGGACAGAGACTTCATGGAGACCCTGAACACCCTCAAATACGCCAACCGGGCTAGAAACATCAAGAACAAGGTGATGGTCAACCAGGACCGCGCCAGCCAGCAGATCAGCGCGCTGCGGGGCGAGATTGCACGGCTGCAGGTGGAGCTCATGGAGTACAAGACCGTAAGCAGCGGGCCAGGCACGGGCGGGCGGGTCACCTCTCTCCGCCTGGGTGGGACCCCAGGTGACGCTCCGCCGCCCTAGGGCAAGCGCATCATTGACGAGCAGGGCGTGGAGAGCATCAACGACATGTTCCACGAGAACGCCATGCTGCAGACGGAGAACAGCAACCTGCGTGTGCGCATCAAGGCCATGCAGGAGACCATGGACGCGCTGCGGGCCCGCGTCACGCAGCTGGCCAGCGAGCAGGCCGGCCAGGTTCTGGCCAGAGCGGGTGAGCTCCCGCGGGCGGCTGGGGCTCCGAGGGGCCCCGAGCCCAGGGGGGACGGTGGGGCGCCCCCGCGCAGGGACGCGGCTCGGGGATCCTCTGGGCTTTCGTTCCTGTTGACACTTTGCTCTCGGGGAATCCTGGGGCTGATTTAAGCTTCGGGCCACACTGCGCCTGGGGCCGGATGGTGCTGGGGTCTGCAGCCCCTCGGCATGCTCCAGCCCTGCACGACCCTCACGTCGCCCTCTGCCTGCAGGTGAAGGGAACGAGGAGATCGGCAACATGATCCACAGCTACATCAAGGAGATCGAAGACCTCAGGTACGGCCGAGTGGGGCATCTCCAGCCCGAGGGGCTGTCCCCTGGCCTTTGGGTGCCCCAGCCCGAGGGGCTGTCCCCTGACCTTCGGCTGCTCCTGCGATGAGGGCCCTGGGGACGTGCCTGCCCATGACGTCCCCTTGCAACGTCCTGTGCTCCTGCCCGCTGTGCCCTGAGGGCCGAGGCACCCAAAGGTGCCTTCACCTAGTGAATTCCAGGCTCCACGGCTCCCCCAGTGACCGGGGCAGGTGCTTGCCTCCTCCCTCTGTGCTGGGAGACCCCCACCCCCCTGTTCTGACGCCCCCCACCCCACACTCCCTCCTGGGGCCTGGAGGTGCCAGAGCTGGAATCTCTGCTCTCTGCCCATGGCACTGCGCTGGGCCTCTGCTCCGACCACTGAGCTCTCTCCTCCTGCCAGTGCCAGTGGGCTTCCGGCCACTGCCTGCCTGGGCCCGCGGCCCATCTCCTCCCACGCCCTTCACTCTCCCTGCAGGCAGATTCCTGCGGTCAGTCACTGGGTCCGTGTAGCCTTCCCTGCTGGCCATGTCCTGCTCTGGGCCTGGGCGTCCTCCTGGACTCCCTGGGGTGGGGCCACTCGGAGCCCCTTCCTCTCCCCTCCCCTCTCCCAGACAGGCTGCCTCTGGCCCTCCCTGTGGTGGTCCTGGGCCGGCAGAGAGTGACCCTCAGCTGTTCCGCCAGCTCCCGTGCCCGCTGGGCAGAGCCAGAGCCTCCCAGCCTCCTCTGGGGGGGCTGATGGCTCTGCCTGTGATGAGCTGGGATGTGCCCTGAGCTCCCTGGCAGGGGTGGGTAGGGGTCAGGGGCTCGTGGCCTGCCTCCGAGTGAGACGTTTCTGGCGACTCCACGGGCATTCCAGCCTGCAAGACGCTGCCTGGGCCGTGCCCGTCCTGGCATGGGTCAGACTCACACTTTGTCCCCGTGTCCCCACCTGGTGCCCATGGTCCCAGCTGAGTCCTCTGTTCCCAGGGCCAAGCTGCTGGAAAGCGAAGCCGTGAACGAGAACCTGCGGAAGAGCCTGACGCGGGCGACCGCCAGGTCCCCTTACTTCAGTGCCTCCTCCGCCTTCTCCCCGGTCCTGTCCTCAGACAAGGAGACCCTCGAGGTTATCGACCTGGCCAAGAAGGACCTGGAGAAGCTGAAGAGGAAAGAGAGGAAGAAGAAGAAAAGGTAGGGTCTGGAGGCCCCGTGTGAAGCCCCAGGTCTCTTGTTTTTCGGGACGTTTGATGTGCACCTCAGGGTGCAGTCTCGTGAGTACGTTAGTGAAATGTTCCCTGGGTGGTCAGAGGTCCCGGCCACGTGCTCCCGTGGCCTCTCTCTGGTGAGAGGGGCGTCAGTGCTCCTGTGGCAGTGAGCTCTGCCCCACAGTGCAGTGCCGTTGCAGGTGATTTCATTTCTCAGTCGGCCGCTTCTGCACTCGGCGTCTTTCCCGGGCACTTCACCCTGAGTCTGTCTCGTCTCTGTGCGTGGCTGTGCGTGTGCGTCTCACACGCCCCCTGTCACCCCGCGCTTGCTCTTGCCAAAGGCTCACCCCACCCTCCCGTCCCTGCCTGCTGCCCCCGCTGCCCTGTGCGAGTGTGTGAGAGGCGTCTGCCCAGAGCGCGGCCAAAGCTAACTCTGCTCCCGCTCTCTCCCGCCGCTCCCCCCGCCCTGGCTCCTTCTCCCAAGTCCCAAACAGGCCGGTTCCGGGAGGAGGAGAAAGTGGGCAGTGTGGTTCAGTGCAGGGAATTCTGATCCCAGAGTTGATTGCCGTTGCTTGGGGTATTTTCTCAGTATGTCAGAGCACGTTAAGCCTTTTGGGCTGGATATTTGAAAGGAGGCCAAGTGTTTTCTTTGTCCATGGTTCCTTTCTTTTTTTTTGCTTTTTGGGTCACACCCGGCGATGCACAGGGGTTACTCCTGGCTCATGCACTCAGGAGTTACTCCTGGCGGTGCTCGGGGGACCATATGGGATGCTGGGAATCAAACCCGGGTTGGTCACATGCAAGGCAGATGTCCTACCTGTTGTGCTATCGCTCGATCCCCTGTCCGTGGTTTCTTACGGAGGATGCACCTGGAAAAATGGCCGTGATCTGTGCCCTTTTCTCTGCTTGCTGAAGTCCGTGGAGAAACTTACTCAGGCAGCCGGGAGTTCTTCCTGCATCAGGAGCTTATCAAGGTGTTGGCGGCCTGTGCTCTTCAGACCAGGGCAGCAGCGTGTCCTCAGGTTGCAGGGCCTGGCTGCACTGGGCCATCTACCTGTGCCCAGGAGGGTGGGGCTGAAGCCCCTCTCCTCAACACCACTTCTTTCTGAGTGCTTCTGGAGTGGCCAGCAGCGGTCGGGCATAGAAACGTCTGGGCGTGTAGCTCGGTGGTTAAGCACTCACCTCGCTCGTGTGAGGGCCTGGCTTGATCCCAGCAACTAAGAAATACTGTCAGAGAAAAGAGAAGACGCGGCACCTGTGGGGGCGAGGGTCAGCGCCGAGGCCTGGCCCAACACCCCCAGAGGCCTGAGCAAAGTGAGGTGTGACCTGACAAACCTAAGCTACCTGAGGAAGGACAAAAGAGTGTTATCCTATCCTAAGATTTTACGGTGTCCCTTGAGAAAGGACTGTAGAGGCAGGTTTCTGTGGAGGCAGTTGGTACTGGAAACGCCAGGAGAACTACTGGGACTCGGCCCCACACGCTGCCCGGTGAAAATGGGTCGTGCAGGTCTCGGGGCCTGCATCTGCCCTCAGCAGATCTGGATGTCGGGCACTGTACAGCCCCAGGCAGTGGTCACCGCTGAGGGGGCGTCCTGATGAATCAGCCAGAGTGGCTGCTTTGACGAGGTTCAGGGCTGCCCGTCACTCGCAGAGCAGTGAAGGACAACGGGTCACGGTTCGGATTGAAGTCTCAGCGGTTTACTTCCGGGTGAAGACTCACGGCTCTTTCAGAGTTTTGGCCAATGTGACGGTGAGGAGGATGGAGCAGTAGGAAGTGCTCGTGCAAGAAGACTTCCGTGGATCAGATGTCCGAGGGCAGGAAGGAGGCAGCTCAGGGGCAGCCCAGGCCCGAGTTCAGTCCCCACAACCCCCCCCCCCCCCCCACACACACACACGCACACACCCCTACCCTGCTGCCCACCAGCAGCGCTGAGTGACCTGCATAAACCTGCAGATGAGGAACATTCCTGGCCCGAAGGGTAGTGCAGCAGGGAGGGGCTTGCCCGCACATGCAAGGACTGACCCACCTTTAGTCCTGGCATCCCAGAAGGTCCCCTAGGCTGGGAGTGATCCCTGAGCACTGCTGGGTGTGGCCCCCAGGACAAAGGAATAAAGAAAACATTCCCTACCTCTGGCCTGGTGTGGATTAGGGAGGCTTTAGTGATAGCACAGCAGTAGGGCGTTTGCCTTGCGTGCAGCCAGCCCGGCCGAGCCGGGTTTGATTCCTCCGCCCCTCTCCTCGGAGAGCCTGGCAAGCTACCGAGAGTATGTTCAATATGCCAAACACAGTAGCAACAAGTTTCAAAATGGAGACGTTACTGGGCCCGCTCGAGCAAATCGATGAACAATGGGAGGACAGGACAGGACAGGACAGGACAGGACCCTTGGCCTGGGGTGGACTAGGGAGGCTTTGAGGCCAGGGCCTCCTCACTGTGAGGAGGGGACCGGAGTACTAAGAGAAGTAGCGACGTCTACTTCTTGGGCTTTGAGAAAGACTTGGGCTGGGAGGCGCCGGGGCAGACCCCAGCTGTCGCTCACGACCTCGTGGAGCCGAGTGAAGAGGGTACAGTGAAGCCTTGGACCAGGCATGTGCCTGCCAGCCTACACGAGCAGGACTTTCCTACCACGGCCTCTCTCGGTATTTCCTCAGCCTGGCTGCTGGCATCTGCGCCTCCTGGGTACAGCTGGTGTGGCTGTGGCGCGGCTTCCCCCGAGGACGTGGCGAAGGTCCCTCTTGCCTGAGGCTTGAGGCGGGCGAGCAGGCGAGAGTGCAGAGCCCAGGGGGTCTGGAGCAGGTCTAGAGCAGGTCCGAGCGGGGAGCCTAGAGGGGTGTCTAGAAGGTTCTAGAGCAGGTCTAGGGGGTCTGGGCAGGGTCTAGAGAAGAACAGGGAAGTCTAGAGGGAGTCTTGAGCGGGACTAGAGGAGGGTCTAGAGATCTAAGGGGGCCTAGCAGGGTCTAGAGCCGATCCAGAGGGCTCTAGAGCAGATCTAGAGGGGGGTCTAGATGATATCATGAGGGAGTCTAGAGGGGTCTAGAGGGTTCTAGAGGGGGTCATGACGGGGTCCTGAGGGGGTCTTGAGCAGGATTAGAAGAGGGTCTAGTGGAGGTCTGGAGGGGGCTGGAGGGAGCCCAGGGGGCTGTGGCCCCTGGCTCTGGAGCGATGGCTGCTTCTGCAGGGTCAATTCGAAGATGCCCCTTCCCCGGTGAGGGAGCAACCTCAGTGGACAGGAAGAGCAGGTCCGTCAGTGTGGCTTGGAGCCGCACTGCTGTTCCTCCGGGAAGTGTCACGGGCACCAGAGCGCAGCGTCCCCGGGCCCCGCAGTCGTGGGGAAGCGCAGGACAGAACTGCAGGGGCCCTCCTCGGGGGGTCCCTCACCCCTCCCTTCCTTGCACTTCCAGTTTCCGAACCCCCCACTCTCTCCTCACCCCTCCATCTCCGACGACGTGCCCAAGCGCTGCCTCCGGGCTGGCGGCCGTCCCCTGGTGTGTTTAACGCTTCCGGGCCTCGCGCTTCCCCACGCCTCTGGCAGGACGGTGCTCGGTGCTCGGTGCCCAGGACCAGCCCCAGGCTCAGACGCTCGACCCAGTGACGCGTGTCCGGTGCACACGCCGGGCAGGAGCTCAAAGGCCGTTCTCGGCCGTTGGCTTTGCTGATGTCTGTGGGGCTCTCAGGTGGAGCGAGTCTCTTGGCACAGAGAAGTCAGCCAGGGAGGAGCCCCGGGTGGTGGAACGGACCGGGTGCCGGGCACCGGTGTGCTGCCCGCTTGCCCTCTGCCAGGGCAAGGAGCCCCGTCCTCTCTCTTGCTTCCGGGCGGTGCCCGCCTTGGACGCATCTTGCCTTCCCCCTCCCGGGGGGAGTAACCCCACTCACCTGCCTCCAGCAGCTCCTCTAACCACTAGAGCACCGAGCCAGTCTCTGGACGGGAGTTTTCTGCTAATGCTAACAGCCACGCTCGCTGCACTGAGACCACTGCACGTGTGGTTCTGACACGGGAGTTTTGAAAACGTGGTGGTGTCCGGACGGGATCAGTTCCAGCAGAAAACAGGCTCTAAAGCAGTGTCCTAGTGTCTAAAGCAGGAGAAATGGTACTTTTGTTGTACGGTATAAAGGCATTACTTTTTGAAGTGCTTTTAATGAGGCGATGACCTCCTCTTCTGAGATGTCTTGGAAGGAAGAGGCATGGAAAAGGAGGGCTTGGCGGGGGGAGCAGAGAAATTGGTCCACTTCAAATTGGAGCGGGGCCGGGTGCCCCGCTTCCTGCCGGCTCGCAGTGGGCCGGCTGGGACCGGGCGTCAGTGGCGGCTTCGCGCCTGAGTCTTTGGCTCCCGCAGGGGAGAGCTGCTTGCACCTCTGTGGCTTGTTGCTCGCACAAAACGTACTGCCTTTCTACTCTGCGTTGTCCTGATGCACTTGCCGCGTGAGCTCACTGTCACTTTTCCCTCCTGCCCCTGTGTGCTCTGCTCCGTTGCTCTCCAACTCGGGGCGCACGCGAAGGCTTCAGAAGCTGGAGGAGAGCAGTCGCGAAGAAAGAAGGTTGGAACCCTCAGGTTCTCCCCCCCCCTCCCCCCGCCGACCCCGTAAGGGCTGGGCTAGGGCAGGCGTCCTGGATTGACAGGAACACGGGAGGCGTGAGGAGCCGCGTCTTAAGAAGCCCCTTAATCAGTGACTGAATAAATAGCAGTGCTCCTACGTTATATGAAAAACAAAAAAAGAAGAAAGCCCTTACTGGCTTTCTTTAAATTAAATGAAATTAATTAAAATTCAGCCAGTTTCATGTGATTTAGAGTACACGGTTGTAACGGGATGGTGCCAGACCCTTTTTTAGATGGAAAATGCAATTAGCATCCAAATGGGACTGTCTCTTTAGAGATTGGGGAGAAATTTAGAAGCTGAACTCTCTCCCGTATTAAAATTCTGAACTCGCTTTATAATGGAAATTTGCACTTCTCCTCACTCAAAAATACTTTTGTTTAAAAAAGAGCCCAGAACAAGTAGGTTTGTGTTAGTCAGATTTTTGTTTCCGTGGGGCCACACCTGGCGGTGCTCAGGGCCGCTCCCGGCTCTGTGCCCAGCGGTCATGCCTGGCCAGCTCAGTGGACCATACGTGGTGCTGAGGATTGAGCCCAGGTCAGCTGTGAGCCAGGCCAGGGCCCACTGTGCCGTCTCTGTGAGCCAGGCCAGCGCCCACTGTGCCAACTACTCTCCGGTCTAAACAATCAGAATGATGCGGGAAATTCTTTAAGCCCTTTCAAAATAATAGTTACATACTTGGGGAACTTACTCTTTAGGTAAGCCTCTCCGGGCTTTGCTTTGACTCTTGACTGCCTGAGTGTGCTTTGGGGCTGGGCGACAGCCTCTGGCTCCACGCTGAGTGCCAAGCTTTGCTGGGATTCAGGGTCTCTCTCGGCTCACAGCCCCCTCCCCTTGGAGAGCGCCGTCCTCCCTCTCTCTGCCTGACAGAGGCCCTAACGCTCAGCAGAGTTCTAGTGGTCAGTGGGTTGCCCATCTGCATGTCGGCTGTTTGCACGGGGATAAAATCTGGGCATCGGGACTGAAGTTGCCTCTGCTGTGGAAGAGGCCGGAAAAGGCGGCATCCCCACCACCCAGTGTGCCCGTCCTGGGCACGATCTTTGGGAACAGAGTTGGCCTCCGGCTCTGATGCCTCCCAGAAGGCCAGGCAGAGGCCCTGGCCTTCCAGAACTGGCTTCTTGGGCTGGGCCCTGGGTTCTAGATGTGGGGTGGTGGGCACTCTGCCCCAGGCACCTGGCCCCTGGGCCCCACGCGGCACCTGATTCTCTGTCATGATCACAGTGCTGGTGCTGGGTCAGAGGTCGGGTCTGGGCTGCACCGTCACCAGGCCTGGCCCCGGGGGCTGAGTAGAGCCCCTGGCCTTTGTGTAGGGAGGGAAGTGAGAGTCACAGGTGCAGTCGGGCTCTGATCGAGTGGCTGACGGCAGTTTTGTGGGCAGCCCTGATTTAAATAAGCTTGGCTTGTGTTTACGTGAGTCTCATCAGCTTTTTGAAGTTTTGATAACAATTCCAGGCCAGCAAGTGCACTCACTTTTGTCCCCTTCTAAAGACATGGCTGAACCTAATCGATCACATTCGCCTCTCCAAGAGATGGGGGTGGCCATCTGGTCCCCGTGGAGGACAGTTTTGTGCTGGGGTTCTAGAACTGGCTCTCTCGGTCTTTGTCAGGGTTGAGGCAGTCACTCTCCTGCGCAGAGGAAGACCCGCCTGGGTTTCAGGCTGTGTCCGTTGGTCTGGGAAAGGCAACAGCCGAGGATAGGCTGGCAGTGACCCGCTACCCTTTTTGTCCTCAATTATGCCAGTTTAGTTCAGAGATTCCGTATCTCCAGAGCAGAGGTGCAGTACACAGGCACACGTACCCCCACACGCCTACACACGTGTGCACACGACCCTCCTCTCATGAGTTTGTTGTCCTGTGTGATGACAGAAATGAAGGAGCTCACTAAGGACCCTGAGAGGTGCCCGGAAGGGGCTAAACAAGAATGGAGATTGGATCTAGCTCCAAGCGTTCGAACTCATTGAAAACATTCAAGTAGCATGAAGTTGCTGCCTGTTGGTGCCATTAGAATTTTTAGCTGGTAAGAGCCTCGGTATTTGGAAGCTGGAAACCGCACCCGTAGCTCAGGGCCCTTAGCTGGAAGATGAGGCCTGTGCAGGAGTAGCCGTGAGCCGCATGGACAGTCCTGCCGGGAGGGCGCGCACCGAGGGGCAGCTGCCATGCGTGAGCATGTGTCTCGCAGATTGCGCATCCAGGGCCCCCATGTGAGTGGCTGCTGGACCCAGTGGGGGTCAGGTGCTGTGTCCACGCATGCGCCTGAACTGGCCGCCTGGGCTGAGTCCACACTGAGCCAGGCAGTGGCTCCTCAGGAGGCTGAGTGTGCAGAGGGGCAGGGGGCAGGGGGCCTGGCTCTGCCGGGCCCCACCAGGGTGGACAGCCTGCTGCAGGTCAGTGAAGTCTGGGAGATCTGCCCGTGTAGACTGCCTGCTGGGTCCAGCAGTGCTGTCGGCAAGATCCCTCCATTGTTGAGCGTCTGCTGGACCCACCAGTGTATGCACTCGGATCTGGCCAGTGTGGTTCTGCCGGCGGGTTTGTGGGATGAGGGCTGTGTAGACAGCCTTACAGATGGCCAGCATAGCCAGCTCGGTGAGTCTGGGCATTGTGGACAGTCTGATGGATATTGCAGCCAGGAGACAGCCAGGTTGGCAGCTGCCGGGGACAGAGTACAGAGACCCTGGTGGGCGTGGCCAGTGGGAACAGCCCTGCGGGACACACCCAGTCAGACGTTTGATGGACTCAGCCAGTGCAGTCTGCCAGGAGAGCTGATATTGACAGCTTTGGTGGCCACAGCCAGTGTAGACTGCAGGCAGACCTGCCCAGATCTTCCGGTTCATCCTTGTGTGTTCAGATATCAGTAGAAAGCCAGTGTCTCTATTTTACATGTTGAAGAGGGAATTTATCTAGGTGAAGGGCCAGTGTGTTTTAGATGCTCAGCGTGGTGTGTGAGCCCTTGGGGGGTAGCTTGGGGGCACAGTGGATGCAGCGGATCAGTGGCCTCGGGTCCTGTCCTGCTCAGGGCTGCTGGCTCACTTTTCTCCATGCCCAAGTCTGGTGTGGTCAATCAGGGGGGTCTTCACTGGGCGCCTGCAGTGCCGAGTGCCCAGCGCATGGCCTGTCGTCAGAGCACTCGGGATGGTTCTAGAATCAGGGAGGAGGAGGAGAGGAGGCATCACTGCCCCCTCACCTGTCCCTTTCCCTTCCTAAAGTGTGGCCGGGAAGGAGGAAACTGCCGACACCGACTCAGAGAAGAAAGAAGAAAAGGGCGCGACCGAGCGTGAGAGCCACGAGCTGGACGTGGTAGGTCTGGCCCACGGGGCGGCCGTGTCCTCAGGGTCGCATCGGGGACACGGGGGTCACATTGCCTGACCCCGCCCCCCCTGGCCCGCTTCCCTTCAGAAATGGCTCAGACACAGGCACACACTCAACCAGGGCAAGGCAGGGGGACGGGCACCCCGGAGCATGGCGTGGGCAGGATGGGAAAGAGCCGTGTCTCTCCCGTGGCCTCACGTGGCCTGGTGGTGGTGCTGCCATGGTCACGGCTCCCATTGCAGGAGGAGAACCAGGATCTGAGTGAGCATGAGGACGAGGAGGATGAGGACGAGGAGGACGAGGAGGAGGATGTGGAAGTGGTGGACAGCTCCGACGACTCCGACTCGGAGTCCGATGACAAAGGTGCCTCAGTGCTGGGAGCGCCTGGGAAATGTCCCTCCCTCCCGGACCAGTGTGGTGACAGTCACTATTTTCTTGTTCTTTTTGCCTTGTTCGGGCACTGTGGTTTGCCTACTACCCTCGAAGGCAGCGTGCTCGTCTCTTGACTTCCTTTCTGTGTCTAGTCCTGGTCCCGGTGGTCACTCCCCCCTGTCCTTTTAGTGGTCCCCTTCCCCGACCTCTCCCAGGCCTCCCCCCGCTCTCTCCTCCGGGCTGCGCCCCACGCCCTCTCCTGGCTCAGGCTCTCGGGCCTGCAGAGGACCCCGGGGGGGGGGGGCATGCTCTCTGCCTGGCACCTGGCTTCCCCCGGCCAGTAGGTCGGAACTCACATTTCCCGTTCTTGCTCCCCGTATAGCGGATTACCAAGCAGACCTGGCGAACATCACCTGTGAAATCGCCATCAAGCAGAAGCTGATCGACGAACTGGAGAACAGCCAGAAGCGACTGCAGACGCTGAAGAAGCAGTACGAGGAGAAGCTGGTGATGCTGCAGCACAAGATCCGAGACACCCAGCTGGAGAGGGACCAGGTGCTGCAGAGCTTAGGTGAGCGGCACCGGCTGGGGAGGGTCGGGGCGCTGTCACCTGGGGCCCCTCCAGCACCGGCAGAACAGACCCGGCCTCTCTCTTTTGGGGGAATCACCGTGAATTACAGAGCCACAGTCCCTCACGACTGAGTTGCAGGGGCACAGCGTTCCCACACGAATCTCTTCACCGGTGTCCCCTGCCCCCATACCGCCCCTGCCTGCCTTGGTGACAGTCACTGTTTTCTTGTTCTTTTTTCCGTTTTCGGGCACTGTGGTTTGCCTACTACCCTCGAAGGCAGCGTGCTCGTCTCTTGACTTCCTTTCTGTGTCTAGTCCTGGTCCCGGTGGTCACTCCCCCCTGTCATTTTAGTGGCCCCCTTCCTCGACCTGTCCCCCCACGTCTCCCCCTCCAGGGTGAGCTCCCGACCAAGGGCCAGTTCCACTCTTTGCTTCCATTGCCTTCGGCCGTTAGTTGTTCCCCTACTGTGCTTCTTTTTTTTTAATGATTCACTTAGTAATAGTTTTATTAATGATCAATTAAATTAGTTAACTTTTAAAAAAAATTTTTTTTTTGCTTTTTGGGTCACACCTGGTGATGCACAGGGGTTAATCCTGGCTCTGCACTCAGGAGTCACTCCTGGTGGTGCTCAGGGGACCATATGGGATGCTGGGAATCGAACCCGGGTCGGCCGCGTGCAAGGCAAACGCCCTGCCTGCTGTGCTATCTCTCCAGCCCCAACTTTTTTTAAAATTTTTTAATTTTTATTAGTGAGACACCATGAGGTACAGTTGTAGACTTACTAATTTTTGTGCTTGGGTTTCAATTCTATACTGTGCTTCTTGACGTGCACACAGGAGCGAGGCCGTTTTGTGTCTCTCCCTCCCCCTCTGACTCACTCACTCAGCACGGTGCTCCCCAGATCCACCCAGGCGGCAGCCAGTGGCATGCATCTCTCATTCCTTGTGCTCGAGTAGTGTCCCTTGTCCTCATTAGCTTCGAGGCTTCCTTATCCAGTCATCCTTTCTCGGTAAGAACAGAATCACAGAGGAAATCGCGTCATTTAGGATTTTGCCTTAAGTTGTGCGTAATTGGTTTGTATCCTGATTGATGCTGGGGATGTTTGAAAAATCAAACACCGTCACCCGTCTTCCAAGATGGCCAAGCAGGCCGTGGCAGACAGTGGGCGCGTGGCCCCAGCCCTGTCCCCGGGAGGCGCTCTTCTCCCCGGGTCTGTGCTTCCCCGACACACGTGCCCGTGGCTCCTGCAGGCTCTGTGGAGTCCTACTCTGAGGAGAAGGCCAAGAAGGTGAAGTCGGAATATGAGAAGAAGCTGCAGGCCATGAACAAGGAGCTGCAGCGGCTGCAGGCGGCGCAGAAGGAGCACGCCAGGCTGCTGAAGAGCCAGTCGCAGTACGAGAAGCAGCTGAAGAAGCTGCAGCAGGACGTGATGGAGATGAAGAAGACCAAGGTGGCGGCGTGTGGGGGCTGTGCCGGCACTGGCCGGTGGGGTGGAGCGGCGTTCCGGTCAGGTGGGGTGCTGGCGCCTGGGTGTGGTGTGGCTGATTTAGGGTGTTCTGGTTGGTACAGTCAGGCCGGGGTGAGGGTGGTGGGTACACATGGCAGGGTTCTGATTGGTAGAATTAGGCTGGGGTGTTGGTGGGTGGGTACAACGTGGCTGGGTCGGGGTGTTGTGGTTGGTCAGGTTGGGGTGTTGGCTTGGCGGTATGGTGTGGTTGGCTCAGGGTATTCTGGTCGGCACAGTCAGGCTGGGTGTTGGTGGGTGGGTGCGGTGTGGCCTGTCTTAGTGACTAGGCCTGTCCCCACAGTAACAGCCTTTGCTGTTACTCCCCATCACTGAATTGGGCCCAGAGTCACACGCGGTTCCCCGGGGTGACTGTTCCTAGGGGTGAGGTGTGGGGATGTGCAGACACTCAGGTACACCCGAATTGCACTGACAGATGCAGCCCTGTCCAGACTCCTGGTACCTCCTTCTGCCCAGAGCCCCTTTCTCGGGGAACGTCTGTCTGACCTGCAGCCTCCTCCCCCACATGTGGAGAGTCTGGTTTCTCTTCTCCTGCCCACGAGAGGTTCTGAGTGCTGGCTCGCCGCCCACTCTGCTGTTAATCCTTTGTCTTTAGCGTTTGACTGGAAGGGGCACCCTTCATGGGCTTCAAGGGCAGAGGAGGGGCTGGAGTGACCATTGCCCAGGGCCAACCTGTGCTCTCTCGAGTCCTTCCTGGAGAGCATCTGAGGCAGGGAAACCCCAGAGTCAGGGGCCTGGTCACGTGGCCACCCCCACGGACCACCTGAACTCACGAAGCTGCAGCCGGAAGTTGCCAGCAGGCGCTGGTGCAGGAGAAATGCATCAGGGATGCGTCAGAATCCAACCAGCCCCTCCGGCCTGGCAGATGCGTTTCTGAGAGGCCGGAGCCGTGGGCTGTGGCAGCCTGTTCTGAACCACGTGGCCGCCTCCCCAACCACCGTGTCTGGATGTCGTAGGTCCGACTGATGAAGCAGATGAAGGAAGAACAAGAAAAGGCTAGGCTGACAGAGTCCAGGAGGAACCGAGAGATCGCGCAGCTGAAGAAAGACCAGCGGAAAAGAGATGTGAGCAAGGCCCCGGGGTGACTGGGACCGGCTGCGCGCGGGGCCCCTGGGGTCCCCATGCGGCTGGGACCTGAGCGATGCCCTGACCCCAAAGCAGGCCGGTTCCTCTCCTGGTGGCTGCTGACTCAGCCCGCACCTTGGGAAAGACAGTGTAGCATTGCTGTGCGCTTTCTAGAGGCTTCTCTCCAGGCAGGAGGTGGCAGGAAGTGGCAGAGCGAGGAGGCGGCGGGTGCCCTGAGCTGCTTCTCCCCGGGAGAGTCAGACGCAGCCACAGCACCACGGGCTCTCTGACCCGAGGCTCCTCTTCCTGAGAACGTGGACTGAGTAACTAACTTAAATCAGAAATTCTACCCCGTGCTAAAACCTGTTAGCACAACGTTACTTGGGACGGTGACCAAAGCGTCTCCAGTTGAGGAGGCAGTTAAGTCATTTAGGGTCCTTCCAAGTAAGGGTTGTCGTTTGTCCACTGAAAGCTGGGACATGGCGCCAGGAGAGAGTATAGCAGGTAGTGCACTTGCCGTGCGGCCCACCTGGGCTCCACCCCCAGTCGCCAAGTGCTGATGGGAGCGAGAGCTCATCGCAGAGCCAGGAGTCAGCCCTGAGGGTCCCCTGGGTATGGCTCCATCCACCTACAGCACAAACAACCACAAACAACCTCCAGTGACCACAGCTGGATCCGGCAGCAGCTAAGCACAGCAACGGGTAGGACTGTCCGAGTGGCCGAAACATGCCCTGCAGGTCCCCAGAGGCCCTGGGCCGTGCCCACTGTCCTGGTGTCAGGGTTAGACTCAGCTTGGTAGTTTTCCCTTTCAGTTTTTTGGTGACACGGTTCTTTTTTTTTTTTATTTTATTTTATTTTATTTTTTTGCTTTTTTGGGTCACACCCGGCAATGCTCAGGGGTTACTCCTGGCTCATGCACTCAGGAATTGTTCCTGGCCGTGCACAGGGGACCATATGGGGTGCTGGGAATCGAACCTGTGTCGGCCATGTTGGCTGCGTGCAAGGCAAACGCCCTACCCGCTGTGCTATTGCTCCAGCCCCCGACACGGTTCTTGATGCAAAGAAATTTTATTTGTGATTCTCTTTCTCCCTGTTGTAGGTTGGGTTTTGTGCTTCCTCCTTGCCCCGGCCTGTCTAAATCCCCTCCACAGAAAACACAAACACACAAACACAAACCCAGGGGCGGAGGGGAGCGAGTGGCCTGCAGGCGTGCCACAGGCCTGCGGGCTTCCCCTCCCCCCACCAACTCTGCCACAGCCAGTGTGTCCCCTGCTACATCTCATTCCACGGTTCCTCCTGCTGAAAGACAGTCCTTAAGTCTTTCAGTGCCGTAAGACTCCCCTTCAGACCCACCCTCAGAGCTGTGCCCTGAGAGCCACTTGCCATGCGTGTCCCTGCCCTTTCCTGTGGCCCCTCACGGTGTGCAGGGACCCACGTGCCCTGCACAGGCAGAGCCAGGCCTTCGGAGCTCGGCCCCCCCGGGCAGACCCAGGCCCTCCCTCTTCAGACTCCGCAGACGAACGGGCCATGTGTGCTCGCTGCTCTTCAGTGGACACTGGACTGTGGCCACATTTTTCCTGTCTGGTGTTTCCTGGGAACTTGCAGCTGGAGGGATGATTTCCTGGCCCCTGTGGTTCCCTCGGGGTAGAGGCCCTCCCTGGAGGGGCCTGTCCAGTCTCGCCCACCAGCAGACAGTCTGGGCTTGCACAGAGCCCCCGACTGCTCCCAGGGTTTGGTGCCTCTCCCTCAGCCCCGAGCTACTTCCTAGCCTGCTCGTCTCCACATACTTGGAGCACTGGGAGGCGAGCACGGGAGCTCTGCAGGCAGTGGTCTGTGAGGGGGGAAAAGGCGTGACAGGGCGCAGACAGCTGTCACAGAGAGCATGCGTGACCCTGCTCCCTGCCTGTGGCAGGCGAGGAAGAGACTCTCCAGGATAGAGCCCTCCCTCGAGCTCCCCCACCGCCCGTGTGGGGCGCCCGTAGCAGGCAAGCTCCCCACCTGTGTCCACACCCACACCACACTCAGTGCAGTGAGCAGCAGACCCACAGCGAGGCTCCAGGCTCTCTTGAAGCCCAATTTGGTCCTCACTTTGGTCCCTGTGAAGCTCGGAGCAGTCCGTGGCCTGGAGCACCACTGCCGGCCTGCCGCGGGAACGCGGGTCCCTGAGCTGCGTGAGTTGGGGCAGCGGTTCCTGGCTCCCTGCTGGCCGCTGCCTCCGCTGTTGGCTGCCGGCACTGTTTGGAGACTCCGGCCGCTGTCCACCACTGAGCACGAGCAGGGCAGTCGCAGCTGGTCCTGGGTGGTCGTCCAGCTGCAGCCGGGAGTGCGTGTGCTCATGTGTGAGCCTGGGCAGCTGCTGCCCGCTCTGCCTGGCCGGGAGGGCATCAGGGGCGGCTCACATCCTGCTGTGTCTCGCAGCACCAGCTGAGGCTGCTGGAAGCTCAGAAGAGGAACCAGGAGGTCGTACTTCGCCGGAAAACCGAGGAGGTCAGAGGCTGGCCAGGAGGGCGTGGGCAGGGTGCAGAGAGGAGCGTCCCCGGTGACCCCCTGTCTTGCTGTGCAGGTCACAGCGCTCCGCCGGCAGGTGCGACCCATGTCCGACAAAGTGGCCGGCAAAGTGCCACGCAAGCCCAGCTCGACGGATGCCCCCATGCAAGGCCCCGGCGCGGCTGCGGGGGACACTGAGGCCGCGAAGGCCGGGACCCCCGCGTGGTCCCGCGTCCCGGTGGCCAGGGTGCAGGCCCTGCCCTCGCCCGCCACCAACGGAGCCAGGTCAGCGCCGGGGCCTGGCCCTGCGGGGTCGTGGCTGTGGGTGGCGCCGGGCCCTCGGGCTCCCCACCTGCCGGTCAGCGCCATGTCCTCGCGTGTGCCCACAGGGCCAGGGACCCACGCAGGGGCCAGCCGGGCCGCGTGTTCACCTCCAAGGCGGCACGCATGAAGTGGCAGCTGCTGGAGCGCAGGGTGACAGACATCGTGATGCAGAAGATGACCATCTCCAGCATGGAGGCCGACATGGACCGGCTGCTACAGGTGCCCCTGCCCCGCTGCCCCAGCCCAGTGCCCAGCCGGCGCAGGCTCCACCCCCAGCCAGTGCAGGCCCTGCCCCAGCCCAGTGAGGCCCTGCCCCAGCCCATTGAAGACTCCGCCCAGTCCCAGCCCAGGCTCCACCCCAGCCCAGTGCAGACTCCGCCCAATCCCAGCTCCACCCACAGCCCAGTGCAGGCCCCACCCCAGCCCAGTGAGGCCCCGCCCCCAGCCAGTGCAGGCTCCACCCCAGCCCAATGTAGGCTCTGTCCCAGCCCAGTGCAGGCCCCACCCCACCCCAATGTAGGCTCCGCCCTAGCCCAGTGAGGCCCCGCCCCATCCCAGTGTAGGCTCCGCCCCAGCCCAGTGCAGGCTCCGCCCTAGCCCAGTGAGGCCCCGCCCCAGCGGGTGCAGGCTCCGCCCCCGCCCAGCATAGCTCCGCCCCCACCCTAGTGCCTCTGCAGCTCCCGGTATGTCTCCCCCAGTGCGGCCTCTGCCCTCAGTGCAGGGACCTGAAACCCTTTAGCTAATCGAGGTGCGGCTTGTGCTCCCCCGCTCCTTCCCAGGCACAGTGTGTCGCCGGGTGCTGCGTAAGGTCTCTGTGCTGTGTGTGATCAGGCCGCTGTCTCTGTCTCTGGTGGCTGCAGAGAACAGCAGCCCTGCCACTCAGCCCTCAAACCCTCCCGGACCCTGCGGCCTGACAGATTCCCCACCGCTGCGCTGAGCCCCAGGGTTTCTGCTCGTGCTTCCTCACCCCTTGGGAGTGCCATCCCGGCCCCACCCGGCTGCTCCTGTGCTCTGCGTCCCTCCAGCCGGGCCCTTCCTCCCCTCGGCGTGTCCTCGCACCCCTCCGCACATCCTATCCCCTCAGCTTGTGCCTCCTTCCCAACAACGTGCCTGTCCCTCCCCCATCGCACGTTGGTCCCTCCCCTCAGCACGTCCCTCCGGCCTCTGAGTTGCCCCAGCCCTGCGGAGCCCACACTCACAAAGTGCCCTGTACTCCGGCCTGCGCAAGGTCCCGAGTCCCAGCTGTTTTCTCCGCAGCAACGGGAGGAACTGACCCGGAGGCGCGAGAAGCTCTGGAAGAGGAGGGAGAAGCTGGCCCAGGAGAGCGGCGAGCCAGACCGAGGTGGGAGCAGCCTGAGCGAGGAGGTGGAGGCCCTGAGCGCCAACATCGACTACATCAACGACAGCATCGCCGACTGCCAGGCCAACATCATGCAGATGGAAGAGGCCAAGGTGGGCGCCCGTCCCTGGGGCCAGGCCCCGAGGCGCGCCACAGGCTCCCGTGTGTCCCTGCACGCCGGCCGCCTGCCGGCACCCTCATCTCCCGTGACTCAGCTGTGCGGGGGAACGTGGACCCTGGGGGTGGCTTCCTGCGGGCTCAGAGCCTGCCCCGTGCTCTCTGCAGGAGGAAGGGGACGCTCTGGACGTGGCCGCCGTCATCCACGCCTGCACGCTCACGGAAGCCCGGTACCTGCTCGAGCACTTCCTGTCCATGGGCATCAACAAGGTGGGTGTGGGCGGGTGCGCCACGGGGCTCACTCGGACCCTGGCCTTCCTCTGCCGCTGACTCGGCCGGGGCTCTGGTCGCAGGGTCTTCAGGCTGCCCAGAAAGAGGCCCAGATCAAAGTCCTCGAGGGCCGCCTGAAGCAGACGGAGATAACCAGCGCCACCCAGAACCAGCTCCTGTTCCACATGCTCAAGGAGAAGGCGGAGCTAAACCCTGAGCTGGACGCCCTGCTGGGCCCCGCCCTGCAAGGTAACGGGACGCGTGCCCACGGCCCCTGGCGCGGCGCCGGTGCGGGCCACAGCGCTGGGCCGGCTCATTGGCTTGCATGCATAGGTTGGGGGGGGTGAGTGGGGGGTCCTGTGCCGGGAACGTGTTCCCCACCCAAAAAGGCCGGCTTAGACCCGTTCGCCGCCAGTTTTGTGGATGCACCAGAGGCACCGAGTTTCTAAGTGAGCTGCTTAAATGGAATGGGATTTATTTCGTTCCCCGTCCCCTCACCACCTCACTAGCGGTTTCCGAAGAGCGCTTGCTGTGGCGCTCTTGTAAGCTCGTACAACACTGCATGCTCGTGTTTGATGTGGGAGCCCTGACTCGGCCCCGTGTTGACAGAATATCGCTTTTGTTTCCCTCTGCTGTTATTTGCACAGATCTAGATAGCGTGCCCGTAGGTAAGTACGGCCAGCTTCCCGCGTACCCCACGGCTGCATGGATCACTAATTGTTCGTGAACACTAATTGTGGCACATTGTGCTTCTAGCACTCTCACTGGCAGCCACCTGGTTTTCGCATGGTCTTCTTAAGATGTTTTCATGACCACACATACTAAATTTGTGTTTTTCTCGCACATCCCTGATCTAAAAGTTCTCAGTGTCCAGAGGCTCCAGCTTACCTCCGTGTTCTCTCTCATTTTCTGCGCTCTGGATTCATGAATTCTTCTCTCGTTTCTTGCAAGAAAACATGGAGCGAAGATGCCTTCTTAACTCTGAAATTACCATTTGCATCACAGAGATTCTTGGCTGCGTGTTTGCATGGTTCTTAGCCATTACTAGTGTTCGATAAGATGAAGCTGCAGGATTTTGCGGGGAGTCTGGGGTCCGTGGCTGTCACCGTGCCGGGTCATTTTACAGACGTGGCTCTAGGTTGGCACCTCTCGCGTGACTGTCCTCCCCTGGGAGCTGGCCGTGGTCCTGGGGCTTCCGAGGATGTTTAGGCCTCGAGGGAGGACTTTCCTGAAGGAGGTGGAGCAGTATCACTTCATCACTGTGCCCCGACTGCCCTTTCCTGCCAGATCTCACACGCTTGAGTTTTCCACATGCCGGTGCTTGGGGGAGGCTGGAAGGAGGGGATGGGGCGTTCCCCTGAGTGGGAGGAGCCATCCGTGACCCGGAACGTGCTTGAGAAGCCTTGGATGGCCGATGCCTGGGGACTTGGGCTGCGTGGTAACGGGCACCTGCAGACAGCACTTTCCTGGGATGCTGGGGCTCCCTTCCTCGAGCCTCCCCTGCACCCCGAGTCTCCTCCTGCCTCAGGCTCAGCCTGTGCAAATCACCATTCTCCTCTCACCCAGGGCTTTCACTGGGGAGCACTCAGGCTTTTGCTGGGGAGCACTCAGGGCTTTCAGCGGGGAGCAGACAGCATTTTCACTTGGGAGCACTCGAAGCCTTCACTGGGGAGCACTCAGGGCTTTCACCTGGGAGCACTCAGCCTTCACTGGGGAGCACTAAGAGACTTCACTGAGGACACTTGGCTTTCACCTGGGAATACTTGGGGCTTTAATCTCAGAGCACGCAGAAACTTAACTGGGGAGCGCTCAGAGCCTTGCTGGGGAGCACTCAGGGCCTCAATGGGGAGCACTAAGGGCTTTCACCTGGGAGCACTCAGCCTTCACTGGGGAGAACTCAGGGCCTTCACCTGGGAGCATTCAGCCTTCACTGGGGAGCACTCAGAGACTTCACCGAGGAGAACTTGACTTTCACCTGGGAATACTCAGGGCCTATGGGGAACAAACAGGGCCTCACTGGGGACCACTCAGCTGTCACTGGGGAGCACTCAACGCCTTACTGGGGAACACTCAGCCTTCGCTGGGGAGCACTCAGGGTTCTTACTTGGGAGCACTCTAAGCCTTCGCTGGGGAGCATTCAGGACTTTTCTTTCTGTCTGTACTTCCTTAGTTTTTCCTTGCTGTCCTCTTGCATGGGGCTCCCTGTGTTGGCCCAGTCTGGACACTTGAAGGCCCCGAGTTCGGAGTATGTGCATTAAGGGGAAGCATCCTGGAGACAGTGTTGGTCTTCTCAGGGGAACACAGGGCGTCGGGGGACCTCCCACCCATCCCTGGGAGCTCGCAAACTTCCTGGGATGGAAATGTGGGGTCCGGACCTGTGAGGCCCGTTCAACCTCGGGTGACTTTTCTCTGTAGACTTGGCCGCACGCATGTCAGCAGGAGATCCTCACATGTGCATTATACAGAGTCTGTGAGCGCTGTGAGCCACCATGCCTGCCGTGGGACACGCTGGGGACACACTGGGGCACGTGGGGCACAGGACCCCGGGACACACGGAGCATGGGACATATGACGGACAGGACCCACGGGACACATGGGCATGGGGTGTATGGGGGAAGGACACACAGGACACACGCGGGGTGTCTGAGTGACAGCGGCCTCTAAGCACCTCGGGCTTCGTGGCTTGGACTCCTCTCTGGCAGTTGTGTAGACACAACTCAGCACGTGGAGTGGGTGCTCTGCTTGGCACTCTGTGTAGACACCACTCGACACTGTGGATCCTAAAACTCGGCCCTTTGGCCTGTTCCATTCAGGCATCCTGAGCAGCTTTGCTGGTGCAGGGGACTGGGGAGAAGCCACAGGGAGGATCCCCGGGCAGGGCTGGCCAGCCGAAAGCCGGTCAGCAGGGATGGGGGGTCAGCGGTGTCTGCAGGGCTGCCCGGCCGTGTGCATGCCCAGACCTCTGTGTGTGGTACGGAACTGTCCTCGTCCAGACACGGACCTTGTCCCGATACTGTCCTAGTTGGACACTGTCCTGGACGACCATGGTCCCAACACTGTTCTCCTGCCGCATTGTTCTAATTGACGCTGTCCCAGTCAGGCACCATCCTCGTCAGACACTCCCCCAGTCAGACGCTGTCCCAGTCAGTCATGGTCCCCGCCCCATCACTGCCCTTGTCCCGTCACTGTCCCCGTCCCGTCACTGCCTTCCATCCTGGGCTGCGTTGGTCCCTGCAGACCGTCTCCTTAGTCCTGCTCGGGACCCCTGTCTCTGCTCTCTTCCCTCACACTCCTCCCTGAGGTGGGGCAGCTCAGGGAGGCTGGACACCTGTGGGATGACAGAGCCACATGGTCAGACGCCTGAGCGGTGCCGGGGTCCCAGTGAGGCTTCTCATCTGCTGCCTTCGTGTGTTGCCAGAGCTCCGTGCGTGCGTGCGTGTTTGTGTGTGTGTGTGTTGGCGAGACCCTGTGAGCTTGCTGCCCCAGCTCTGTCCATGTGGCCATGACCCACGCCTGGCTGGGTATGCACGTCCTCTCCGTCCTCTCCCGGTCACCCTGTTCCACCCTCCGCACCTGCTGCCCTCCCCATCTCCCTGTACCCTTCTCCCCTCCCTCCCGCTCCCCCATGCTCCCTTCCCCTCCAGCATCCCCCTCTCCTCCCCTTCTCCCTCCCTCCCCCTTCCCCATCCTCCCCTGCCCCTCTCCCCTCCCTTTCTCCCTCTCTCCCTCTCCCCTTCCTCCCCACCTCCTCCCTTCCCCTCCCTCCCCCTTCTCCTTCTTCCCCTCCCGTCCTGCCCACCCAACCCCTGCTGCCTGAGGCCCTCTGCTCTGGGCGCTGCTGCATGCCCCGTCCTCTGGCACCCGCGGGTGCTGCATGCTGCTTGGAGCCTCACTCTAGACTGAGGGGCGCAGGCGCTGCCCCCAGCTTCCCCGGTAGGCCCGGAGGCTTCACGGCTGCAGGGAGGCGTGTTGCCGCTGACTCCGTCTTGTCTGGGGCTCGCGCTCACTGGCCTCCGCTCCTCCTACTCTGAACGTTTCGTTCCTCCCTCCACCTAGGACACGCTGCAGGGCGTTTCTTAGAAGGCCCACACGTCTCTCCTGCCGGGTGTCCAGTCCCAGGGCCGTGCGGAGGCACTGGGTGGGGTGTGTCGGTCTCACGTCCCCGTCCCCCTCCCGCCACGGCCAGGCCTGTGGCTCTGACGGCCGTTCTGCACGGTTCTTCCAGAAAACGCCGAGGACAGCACGGACGAGGACGCGCCTCTGAACAGCCCGGGGTCCGAGGGGAGGTAGGGACAGGGAGGGCGTGGGCGGACGGTGGGGGGCGGGGAGCCAGGGAGTGGCCAGGAGCCAGGGTCTGAGCTCCACCTGTTGGGAGTCAGCGCTGGGTCAGTGCCGCCCCTGCCGGTGCCCGGCGAGCCTGCCCTCACCCGGCGTGTTTGCGTGCAGCTCACTGTCGTCAGACCTGAGGAAGCTGTGTGGAGAGGTGACCCCCAAGAACAAGGTGAGGCCCCCCCCACTCCCCGTCCCACTCTGCGGTCCCCTCCCTCCAGTCCTCAGGGTCCTGCCTGCATGGGCTGCCTGGGTGGGGCACGGGAGGGGGCCAGGCCTGCAGGCGGCTGCCCTGCTGTGCTGTGGGAAGGGGCAGCTCAGCCGGGCCTGAAACCACGCACCCAGAGCAGTGCCGGGACAGGGACCGAGGGCAGGGCAGCTGCTGCCGGACAGGATGGCGGGAGGCAGGGCTGTGCTCCCCAAGTGCCGGCGCACGGCAGCGTCCGTCCCAGAACTGAGGGGGTCTGAGGGCTGCCCGCCTCCCAGACTCAAGCTCCAGCCGGTGACTCACCCTCCGGCCGGTGGTGCAGGGGTACTGGCTGTCCTCAGCACCCGGGCTGAGCTCAGCTGCCACTGTGCTGGGTTTCGGGCACAAGGTCTGTGCATGGGGTCAGGACCCCTGGAGGGCTCGTGGGGCTGAGGGTGGGCTGGCGAGGCCCGCTGAACCAGGCTCGAGGGGGTCAAAGGCGGGAAGGGGCCGGCTGGCCTGGGCTCATTTGCTCCTCCTTTGCTTTGTGAACTGCGGGGGCCGTGAGGTCGTCTGCCCTGGTCCCCAGGCCCTGCCTGGCCACCTGCCAGTGTGCCTGGGACACACTCCTCGGCGGGCCCCCAACTCCCCAAGCCTCAGTTTCCCCAGTTGCGTGTTGTGCTGATGAGTGTGTGTGTGCGTGTGTGCGCGCGCGCGTGTGCTCTCTGAGTGTCCCCGGCAGCCCTCAGGACTCCCACACCCTGGGCCACCTGCCCCTGTCCTGATGCTCGTCCTGGCCCTTGTTCCCGCAGGCGCGACGCCGGACCACCACGCAGATGGAGCTGCTCTACGCGGACAGTGAGGGGCCGGGTGACTCAGGCACGGGCGAGGCCGGCTCACCCAGCCCCCTGGCGCCTGTGGCCGAGGGGCAGGACTCGGGCCTGAGGGCCGAGAGCAGGGGCCCGTCCTCACGGGAGAAGGAGCTCCCCTCCCCCACCGGCCCCTCCACCAAGGCAGGCCTGTGAGTCCAGCCCCGCTGACCGCTCTCCACAGGGGTGGCCGCGTGCCTGCTCCCCTCGGGCTCTGCCTCTCAGCCGCTGGCCGCAGGCCTGGCTCTCAGGGTGAGGCAGGGTGGAGCTGCCGGCCGGCCTCCATGGCTTGGGGGAGGGGCACAAGCTGTGGCCCTGTGATGTGGGGTCAGGGGGCAGACAGAGTGGACGGGGAGTGGTGGGGAGGCATACCCTAGAGCCAGGCTTTGTGGTGTGCACTCCGCTCTGGGTGTGTGTGTGTGTGTGTGTGTGTGTGTGCGTGTGCACGCGCGCGCACTCCCTGGCACTCCCAGTTGCAGAATTAACTGACTCTTCTTCCATTTCAGCTCCCGGCAATCATCGCTGTCAGAAAAGAGGATTCCGGAACCTTCCCCCATTGCCAAGAGGAAGGCGGCCGAGAAAGCAGAGGCGGTCAAGGCCAAGGAGCAGAAGCAGTGAGTGTCGCCCCACACAGGTCTGAGGGCTGGTCAGTGGGTGGGGGGACACTGATTAGCAAGGGATACTGGTAGCTAGGTGACACTGGTCATTGGGGGACACTGGTCAGTTTGAGGACACCGGTCAGGTTGGGGGACACTGGTCAGTTTGGGAACACTGGCCAGTTTGGGGGACACTGGTCAGTTGGGGGACACTGGTCAGTTGGGGGGGACATTGGTCAGTTGGGGGGACACTGGTCAGTTGGGGGATACTGGTCAGTTGGGGGGACACCGGTCAGCTTGGGGGACACTGGTCAGTTTGGGGGACACTGGTCAGTTGGGGACACCGTTCAGTTGGGGGGACACTGGTCAGTTGGGGGACACTGGTCAGTTGGGGGGGACATTGGTCAGTTGGGGGGACACTGGTCAGTTGGGGACACTGGTCAATTGGGGGACACTGGGCAGTTTGGGGGACACTGGGCAGTGGGGGCCAACCTGGCCAGCTGGCCTCTTGCCTGGACGTCGGTGCAGCCTTCTTCCTGGCCGTGCCCGTGCTTGGTCCCGGTGTGCTGTGGTGAGCGAGAGGTGCGCGAGTCTTTCCTGGAAATCCTCTAGAACTGTCCTGAGCTTGGGACCTGCGCGGGGGCAGTCCGGGCGCCGTGAGGCCCGCGCGGTCCCCCTGCTGGCCGTCCTGCGTGGTTCTCTGGCTCGCTCACCCCGCTCCGCTGTGAGAGGCCTCGGGCCGGGCTGTGCCGTGGGCGGTGGGGCAGCCCTGTGCCGCGCTTGCGCCAGCTTCTTGCCGGTGCCCGTGTGGAGGTGCCCTGGTTCCCGGTGTTGGCTCAGGGCACTGGCACCTGACTCAGCTCTGCTGCCGCTGCCTGCTGTGGGGGTCCTTGGTCGCGCGTGTCATGGGCGCCACGTGGGGGTCCCGGGGCGACCCTACTTCGCCCCAGAGTCTGCGGGCGTCGCCCCAGACTTCTGCCAACAGCGCGTGGCCACTGCAGCCCAGTCCAGGGGAGGTGTCGCTGCTTTGTCACCCTTAGGTGGCGGGTGTGCCGGGGGACACGTTCAGAGTGGTCAGTGCCAGGTGGAATTTCTGGAACCGCGTGTGATCTTCTCTTCTCCCGCAGCTCCGAGGCGAGCCTCTCGCCCCCTCCCTCCCCGCCCAGCCGGCCCTGTAACGAGCTGAATGTCTTTAAGCGCCTCGCTGGGCCTCAGGGAAGTGCCACGGCTCCGCAGGATAAGTAAGTGGGCGGGGAGAGGCCCCAGTGCGCAGTAGAACCCAGTTTCCCACCGACCTCTGCCTCCCTCCCCGTCTGCCTCTCTCTCCCCGCGAGCGTGGGCCTCATGTGGATTCACCTTCCTGGGGGTCTCGGCTGCCACGGGAGGCGTCTGGCCCCCGCCCGGGATGGAGCATGTTCCTGGCAGTGGCCGTGGCGGTGTGTCTCGGTCATGGCCGACCCACCGCCAGAACCTCCAGGGCAAAGTTCAGGGAAGGAGCCTCTGGGGCAAGGTAGGATGGGGAGCACCGGGGTCCGTGGCACGAAGTCTGAGGTGAGAGAGAGAAAGAGAGTTCTCGGCGCGCCGGGGCCCTGCAGAAAGCTCACAGGTGCTGGCTGTGTCATCCTCACCACCAAGGGCTCTCAGTGCGTCGTGCTCGGAGCCTCTGACCGGGAGGGACTCGTGTCATCGTGAAATGATTCCTGGTTTTCTGATTTTGGGGTGGGATTCTTGCTTAGGCTGTCACACAGCGGGGCCGGCGTGTGGCTGGGAGGTGGACGCGTGTGTCCTTGGGCAGGGCGTCCACTGGCCGAGCAGGGAGAGTGTCTGTGAGGCCGGCCACGCCCTCGCCCGCTCTGCACCTGCTCCCGGTGCTGTGTGTGTGGGTGGCCATGCTGGTCCCTCCCTCCTGGCCGAGCCCCTCTGTGTTCCTTGGCAGGGTCCCTGTGCCGGCCAAAGCCCCAGCTGTCAGGGACCCCCTAGTGGAGCTGCTTCCTGCTTCTGAGGTGGGTCAGTGTTGCCCCAGCAGTTTGCCGTCAAGGTGCAATGGCAGCATCAGCAGTCAGGGCAGGTCTGCCTGGCCGCAGCCCTCGGGAGCGATGGACCCCATGGAACAGTGTCGGGGGTCCCGTCACTGCTGTGTGCGGGAACGCCGCCATCTGGGGCGAGAGCCCGGGGGCGGGGGGAGGGGACGTGTCTGCTGCCATCCCCGAGGACGTGCCTGTTCCCTGCTCGTCACGTGGCTCAGGGCTGGACCCGACCTGCGCTCACGGCGTCGTCAGACCTCCCTGGTGCAGCCTCGTGCCCGGACCCCTGAACTGGGCCGCCCTCTGCGCGCCCTCCAGCAGGTTCTCCCATCCACCCAGGGTGCGGGTGGGCTGTGTGATGCGGGGCCTGGTTTCCCTTCTGTCTGTGACTATTCCCTCTCCGAGGACTTATGCTCTGTACACACTGACCCCGGGGAGGTTTGCTCCGTTTTGAGGATTCCCCAGGCCTCGGCCTCGGCCTGTTCTTTCATCCAAGGGCTGTTCCTTGTGGAGTCACCAACGAGGAGAGCGGGGAGCCGCGAGGGACGTTGGCCTTGGGGTCTCTCTGGCTCTCCTGGCCGGGAGGAGCGGCCTCTGCGACAGGAGGGAGGCTTGGAGGCCTGAACCCCAGGGGCGTGCGCCTTCCAGTGGGGGACGGAGACCCAAGGGAGCTGGGCAGCACCCAGACCGCCTGCTGCCTGTTAGCGGGACCTTCTCCCAGGGGTGCCCAGAGTGGCTCCTGCCGCATTCAGGCTGCATACCAGACTTCCCTCTGCAGCCCCGTGCTGGAGTGTGTGCGTGTGAGCACACGGGTGCATGCATGCTTAAGAGTTGTGTGGGTGTTCGTGGGTGGGTGCAGCGTGTGTGTGTGCATGCCTGTCAGTGTGTGCACGTGTGCGGGAGGACCTGCCTCTGCTCACTGTGGCTGTCAGGAGTTGTGGCTCCCCCAGCCACCGGGCCATTCTCTCACGTTCCCTGCAGCCTGTGTGGCAGGCCAGGGGCTGCTTCTGGTGTTCCCTTGCCCAGCGCTGCTGGCAGGGGCCTCCATTGGCTCCTGACCGCTGGGGACGGGATGTGCAGACGAGGAGCCTGCCACCACCCATCTCTGCGTCTCCCGGATGGGACTGATGAGCCCTCCTGCGGGCGCGGCCCCGACCCCTGCCAGCCCCACCACACTCCCAGCTTGGCCGTAGTTGCCTCTGCCATTCTGTGAGGCTCTGGTAGGATGGCCACGTCCACGCCAGGCTCCCCACGGGCTTCCCTAGTGTGACCTGGGGTGTAGCGGGGCCAGGGGCCGCTCTGCTCCGGGTCATCCACCCAAGGCCCTGTCCTGTTGAATCAGACTTTACTCCCAGGCCTGGTCGTCCGGCCACTTCCCACGCCTCTGCAGTGCACCAGTCACCTGGGCAGGGGCAGAGGGACCGAGGGCGAAGCTGTGGCCTCCTGCTCCTGGCAGGAGCATGTCACCAGCCCACAGGACATTTCCCGAAACATCCTCGGGTGGAGCCCCCAACCTGCTTGTGGCGAGTGGCTAGTCAGAGACCCCTGGGCATGGCAAGGGGCGGGGGGTCTCACTGCAAGATGTCCCTGTAGGGCCTAAACCCTTCCCCCTCCTCCCGTTTCTCAAACCCCCCTTTTTGCCTGCCTTGTGGGAAGGGGCGTGGAGCCACGTGAGGCAGCCGGGCTGCGTCCCATCCCGGGCGTCTGCTCTGTGGGGTCTTTGCTGCTGCGGCCTGAGGGTCTCCTTGCCGGGAAGGTGGAAGTGGCGGTGCTGAGTGACCCGGGTTCCTGTCCTGTATCTTGCTCCAAACCCCGTTTTCTCTCTGCTCTCAGAAGCTCCTGACGGGAGGGGCCAGCACGGCCCAGCCTCTCCCGTGGATGGTCTCAGGGCCCAGTGCTGTCTTGCAGGACGGTCCCCGATCACTGGGCCGGGTGCCTTTCCCTGGAGGCAGCACCCCTGTGCAGACCCTCACTCCTTGTGATTGTTGGTGGTTCCCTTGGGTTTTGCGGCTCCCTGCACCATCCCGCGTGGCTGTGGGTCTCTTTCTGGGGTGGGGGCAGGCCGGGGGGCACAGGCTGTCCACACTGCAGGGTGTTTGCCTGCTTGATCCCACGGGCTGTGTCAGGACTCACCCGTCCTGCAGTTCCTGAGGTGATTCTCTGGCGTCTGGACACCTTTGGGCTTTGCCTGTCTCTGGGTTCATTGTGTGCCTGTCGTGGCCTTGGCGAGAGCCCGTGACACTGCAGAGTGGACGTCGTACTGACTGTGAGCGCCTCTGACCCCTGTGTCCCCCCAGGGGCGTCATCAACCCGTTTCCCGCTGCCAGAGGCTCCCGAGGGGCCCCGCTCCAGTGTGTGCAGGTGGCTGAGGGCCACACGAAGGCCGTGCTCTGTGTGGACAGCACCGACGACCTGCTCTTCACTGGCTCCAAAGGTGTGTGGTACGCGGCAGAGTCCAGCGCCCTGACCCCAGCAGGCTTTGTCGGTCTGGCGCTGGGACAGGCCACACAGAGTGGCCCCTACCCTGGGTGGGCTCCTCCCAGCCCCGTGATCAGGCACGGAAGCCCAGTGGGTGGCGCCTTACTAGCCAGCACTTGGGTTCGAATGTGAGACAGTCAGTGGAGTAAGTGGGCGGGGGCCCCGCAGACTCGGTGAGAGGGACTTGGGCCTTCTGGGGAGGGTCCCCATCCCCAGCAGGGGAGCGGGGCTGATGCCGGCTGCTAGCCCGAGCTGCAGGGCTGTGGGAGGTGGAGCAGCAGCATCGGGGCAGGCAGTGAAACCGCCCCAGGAGCCCATGCGGGCGGGGGCGGGGGGGGGGGCGGCACTTGGGCCTGTGGTGGGATCTGGCTCAGGAAGGAAAGTCTGGGGTGCCCAGGGGGCACGGGAGACCAGGAGAAGCCCCGCAGCATGGCCTGCCCTGAGGAAGCCCCCAGGCCTCCAGGAAATCCCCCTCTTGGACACTGTGTGTGGCCCGTGGCAAAGCGGCTGAATGTTTGGGCTCAGGAGAGCGACCACAGTGCCCACTGACCAGGAGGGTGTGTGGGCTAGGGCGGGGAGAGGGAGGTGGTCCAGGCAGAACCTTCCAGAAGGCCAGTCCAGGACAGACCTGGGCTCAGGGCAGCTGGACGTGACTTGGTTCACCCCATCTGCTCGCTGCTGCCCGGGGACTCCGCTCCACGCCGCACGGAGCCGTCTCTGTTCCTGGGGTGACTGCTTCTCGGGGGAGGGGGCGTCGTGCCCATCCTCCCCACACACAGCACCCCGATGTGCCTGCCTTGTGTTTCAGATCGAACCTGCAAGGTGTGGAACCTGGTGACGGGCCAGGAGATCATGTCGCTGGGCGGCCACCCCAGCAGCGTGGTGTCCGTGCGGTTCTGCCCCTACACCAGCCTGGTCTTCACCGCGGCCACGTCCTATGTGAAGGTGTGGGACATCAGGGAGTCGGCCAAGTGTCTCCGCACGCTGACGTGAGTGGTGGGCCCCGCGCTGGGCGCCAGGCAGCTGCTGGACATGCTGGGCACCCCTGCCAGCTGACCTCTGATCTCCGACCTCTGCCCTCTGCCCCCTGCCCAGGTCTTCCGGTCAGGTCACGCTCGGGGACACCTGTGTCTCCAGCACCAGCCGCACGGCCGCCCTCCCCTCGGGAGAGAACCAGATCAACCAGATCGCCCTGAACCCCACGGGCACCTTCCTCTACGCGGCGTCGGGCAACACCGTCCGCATGTGGGACCTGAAGAGGTAGGTCAGCGCCACTCACTGCACATGTGTGGGCACGCGGGAGCCAGGACACCTGGGGGCACACACGGGAGCCAGGATGTGCGTGGGCACACGGAGTCAGGGCACACATGTGGACACAAGGAGTCAGGGCATGTGTAGGCACATGGAAGTCAGGACACACAAGGGCACGTGGGAGTCAGGACACATGAGTTGGGGCACCTGTGGGCACATGGGCACATGGCCAGGACATGGATGGGCACATGAAGTGGACCACTGTTTCCTATTTGCACATGGACACGTGGGTACATAGGTGTGTGCATTGTGTTAATGTATGCATGTGTGCACAAACATTGTACAGTGTACACACGCCTCGTGTGCATATGTTTATACACATTTACATATGTGTCTGCTGAAGGCACATTTGCATTTACACATATACACGGGTATATGTGCATGTTGTCATGTGGACACATGTGTGTATTCATGGGTGCAGGCAATGTGTGAGATATGTCCACAAATGGTTATGAACACAGGTGCTCTCATGGTTGTATGTGTGATATGTGCATATATTGTGTATAAACCTATGTGTGCATCTGTGCATACTTATAACAGCAGACACATATATGCCCATAAATAATCAGACACGTGTCTGTTTGTGCACGTATATCCCACACAGTACATGTGTACATATTGGAGTAAATGTCTATATGTGATGTGATGATTTGTCTGCATGTGTGATGTGTGTGCATATGAGATTTGTTTGTGATGTGTACAGGTATATATGCGAAGTTCTACACACGTATTTGTGAAGTGATGTGTGCTTGCCTATGTGTGGTGTGTACGTGTGATATGTGTATATTGTATACACGGTAGACATGAGACATGTGCATGGCATGTCCCTATGAGATGTGCGTTCACGCATGTGAGATGATATGTGAGCCTAATAAGATGATCTTGCTCTTGGTGTTGTGTCTGGTCTTTTAGTGAGTGAATGCCATGCTCGCCAGGTTGGACCGACACGTTAGTCTCGTGTCTGTCACACTCAGGGCTCAGCAGAGGGAGATTCCATGGACTTGAGCCCCATAGGGTGAGCTGGCCATGGAACTCCCTGACCCCTGTGCACTGCCCACACAGCACCAGTGGGTTTGGAATGTTCCTGGCGTCCCTCCACACCCCTCCTCAGAACAAGCAGCAAGGCCCTTGTGTAGTTGGGATTGAAGAGAGTCAGCTGGAGGTGGGGCAGAGGGCGTGGAGACCAGTGAGCACTGTTGGCAGAGTCCCAGTGGTCTGGGTGAGGCTGAGCGCGCGTGCTAAGGCCGTGTTTGGCTTTCCTCCTTTGAAAGGTTTCAGTCTACCGGAAAGCTAACGGGACACTTGGGCCCTGTGATGTGCCTTACCGTCGACCAGATTTCCAACGGACAAGACCTGATCGTCACCGGCTCCAAGGACCATTACATCAAAGTGCGTATGCGGGTGGGGCGGGGAGGGGCGCGGGGAGGGGCACGTCTCACCCCGTTTCTAGCTCGCTGGTCTTCCCGTCGCTGAGTCCCTGATTTTCACTTCCTTGGGGCCGTACCCAGGTGTGCTCAGGGGCTGCTGTGCTGCTTGGCGTCGTGTGGAGGTTCTGGGAGTGGCCCTGGGCTCCTGTGTGCTGAGCTACTGGTCTCCAGACCCAGCCTCGGCCTCGTACCCTCCTGTTGAGTTGTGTAGTTTCTGTGTTTCCTGGAACAGAGGTCTGAGGGGTCTCAGAGGAAGCTCATTTCTGATGACTTTCTGAGAAAGCAGTGCCCTCAGCTTGGGAGCACTGAGAGGGTGGCAGGGAGAGGACGGGCGGGTGTGACGGTGAGAGGAGGGGCGGATGTGAGCAATACCTTGGGGACCTGACATGCAGCAGGGTCACAGACAGTGCAGCACACGTGTGTGTTGCTGGTCCGGAAATGCCATGTGTGCTCTTGCATGGAGACCTGTGCCCTCCAAGCTGCTGTTCAGAGATATTCGGGCAGTTGGAGTCAGCACCCAGGGTTTCAGTGAGCTTAGCAGAGGGTGAGAAAGAAACCCAGTGAGAGTAACATGTGTATGCACGTGTGCATACTGCTCACGGATGTGCATGTGTGTGCATGCACACTCGTGCATGTGTGTATGCCGGAGAGGCAGCTCATTGCTGTGACCGACCTGTGGGGGTGCTGCTTTCTGTTTGGACCAGATGTTTGATGTCACTGAAGGGGCGCTCGGGACCGTGAGCCCCACCCACAACTTCGAGCCCCCACATTACGACGGCATCGAGGCGCTCACCATCCACGGGGACCACCTGTTCAGCGGCTCCCGCGATACCGGCATCAAGAAATGGGACTTAGCCCAGAAGGGCCTTCTCCAGGTCGGCAGAGCCCGGGCTGGGATTCTGGGCCTTCCCCCGGGGCCTGCTCTGCTCCCCTGGAAGCCCCTAGGGGAGTTGCGGGGGCGGGGGCAGCCACACTGCGCCTGGCATGGTCTCCAAGGGCAGCGGTGATGAGCCCTTCAGCTCCAGGAGCAGTCTGGCTCCCTGCCCACGGCAGGCCTCCCGGTCTCTCCCAGTCTCTCCGGGTCTCTCCTGGTCTCTCCTAGTCTCTCCTGGTCTCCCGGTCTCTCTGGGTCTCTCCTGGTCTTTCCGGGTCTCCCAGTCTTTCCTGGCCTCTCCCGATCTCTCCCAGTCTCTCCTGTTCTCTCCCAGTCTCCCGATCTCTCCCGGTCTCCCCCGGGATCTCTCCCAAGTCTCTCCCGGGGTCTCTCCCGGGTCTCTGTTGTCTCTCCCGGTCTCCTGGTCTCTGTCTGTCCCGGGTCTCCCTGGTATCTCTTCAGTCTTCCCCGGAATGCCCAGTGGGGCTCTCCTCTCCCACTGGAGCTGGGTGGCAGCAGGGCAGGTGCTCCAAGTCCGGGAACGCCCCAGGGCTGCGTGCTCTCGGCGGTGCCCGTCTGCTGGTGTGTGTGTGGTGGTGGTGGGGGGGGGGGGGGCCGATTCTCCATCCTGCCCAAGTGCAGGCAGCTGCAGCCCCCTCCAGCTGCCTCCCTCCTCTCTTTCTCTCTCAGCAAGTCCCAAACGCCCATAAGGACTGGGTGTGCGCCCTGGGTGTGCTACCCGGGCCCCCGGCTCTGCTCAGTGGCTGCAGGGGAGGCCTGCTCAAGCTGTGGGACGTGGATACCTTCGCGCCTGTCGGGGAGGTGAAGGCCCACGACAGCCCCATCAATGCCATCTGTGTGAACGCTGCACACGTCTTCACTGCCGCAGAGTACGTCTCGGGGGGAGAGTGGCCGGGCGTGGGCCGAGTTGTGGCTGGTGTGTGGATGCTGCCCCTCTGACCCTGTGTGTACGCGTCTGGCATGTGGACACTGCCCCTCTGACCCCGTGTACATGCGTCTGGTGTGTGGACGCTGCCCACTGGCCCTACTGCATGTCTCCCGGGAGCCTTGTCTCAGAGACTGCCCGGGCCTGCTGTCCCCTCCCTGCCTCCTTGCCCCCAGGTCTTAACCGGTGGGGCGCCAGATCCTGCTCGGGGGCTCCCTGCCTCCTGGCTGGCTCCCACTCGGCCCTGCAGTGTGTGCCCTGGGGGCAGGGGCAGTGGGGGCGCAGGAGCGCGACAGGGTGTGCTCCGGGATCGGGCAGCCCTGCGCCCTCTGGGGCATCCCAGCAGGATGGGCGGCTCCCGGCGCCCCCTCTGCCCACCTCCGCTCATGTCCTCTCCTTGGCCATTTGCAGTGACCGAACGGTGAGAATCTGGAAGGCCCGCGGGGCACAGGACGCGCAGATGTCTGACTCCGGGGACCCAGGGGACGACGGGGCCTGCACCTGACGGTGACCATGGGTCAGCCCTCCTGCTGCCTGGAGCCTCCCGCCAGCCCCGTCCAGCAGGGTCCAGCTGCGTCCACGATCCCAGTAAAGCTGTGTGTCCGCGCTTGCCTGCTCCAGCACGCGTCCGTCTGTCCCGCCCGAGGGCAGCCCAGTGCCTGCCTGTCGCCCAGCGGGTCCAGGCGGGCCTGCGTATGGCCTCCTCAGCCAGGGCACCGTGAGCTCGGCCGGGGGCAGGAGGCGGCTTTGGCGTCGGTGCCCTGGTCTGCCCGGGCCCTGCTTCCCACACCACCACGCCCGCCCTGCGCCCGTGCAGAAGCCCCGAATGCCGCCTCGTCTGCCGTGAGAAACGTCTTGGCTGCTCTGGCAGACAGTTTGGACTGTTTTCCTCTGGAGTTGTTTCTATTTCTCCCTTCTGATTTCGTTTTCATTTGATGGTAGCATTTCTCTTTTTTTATATGCTGCTAAGTCTATTTTGAATACGTGACACGAGCAGAGCTGTGTTGTCTGAGGGGAAAGCTGTGTAAATAGACTGTAAAGAGAACAACATCTCTCACCGAAACTGGATGAAATTTTAAAATACCGTAGACTGGACTTTCCAGAAGGATGTATGATTTATCTGTCTTCTCCATTAATTTGTAAATTCTGAAGATTTAATTTTATGTAGATGATTTAACATTTGGAAATATTGTCGTATGATTTTTTTTTCCCCAGAAAATATTTGCTTGTAAATCAGTGCTTAGCTCAGGCTTAAATAAACATGTCGGTCCGTACCCTTTATATCCTCGCGTTCTTTTTTCTAATCTTGTGACGGGGCCAGTGGCCCTGAGCCTGGCTTCTCTGCACCCATTTCTTCTATTTGTTGATTTGTCTTTCATTTTTAGTGTTTGGCCACCTAGAAGTTACAAGTTATTCATGAGTGGGTTTCAGGCACACAGTGTTTCAGCGCCGATCTCTCGCCAGTGCCCACTTCCCTCCACCTCTACCCCCGCCTCCCATTGCCTCCCACCCACATTGATTTCATGCGTGGCATTTTACTCCCGCTCTGCACTCCTTCCTCTTCCCGGCGGACACTCCCCCCCACCAGAGGTGCTGCTCCCCTCACCCCCGTCTTACCCCCAGATCCCTTGAGACTGCACATACTTCTCCCTGTCTTTCTTGGCTTCCTGGACATGAAATACTCTTGTGAATTTTAAAGGAGGACCTCATCTAGGTCAGCCAGAGAGTAAAGGACTTGGAGGAAAAAATCAGACATAGAATTTAAGGTTTTGAACAAAGATGGTCACGATCACGATCATCCTGTTGTTCGTCGATTGCCTCGAGCAGGCACCAGCAACGTCTCCTTCGTCCTAGCCCTGAGATTTTAAAAAGTGCCGTATTCAAGGCTCTTTCAGGGTTAGGAGAATGAGAACCATCATTGTTACTGGTACTTGGCATATCGGGTACGCCACGGGGAGTTTGCCAGCCTCTGCCGTGTGGGCAGGTTACATTCAGTAGCCTGCCAGGTTGTCCAAAACAAGAATGAGATAATAAGATGTTGTATTTGCAGCCACACGCTTCGGCGTCCGGGACTGGGTTTTATAGTCTCTGGGTCTTGACCGTTGATGGGATTACCCCAGGGCGGGGTGGGGGTGGGCAGTTGGTGGGTGTGACCCCTGCCTACTGGAATTTGTAGGATCTGGGTGGAGGATGCTCAGCCCCGATCCGAGCAGGCTCGGAGATCTCAGCCCCGGGACCTGCATGCCTTTGTTCATCTGCCGGTACCTTCATGCGTGTGGAGAGTGGTCTCAGCATGGTTGTGGCTGGTTCTGGAGGTCTTCGGCTGCCGGGGTTCTGCTCGGGGCGGGGAGGGAAACTCAACCTGCCCCCCTCCAAGGGGCCCCAGCAAGGACAGCCAGGCATGGGGGCGCTGTTCTCTTTCGGGAGCTGGGTTTTATAGTCTCTGGGTCTTGGCCATTGATGGGATTACACAGATGGTAAAGGTGAAAAATCCCATCAGTACCATCCTTGATGACTGGCCTGAGATGAAGGGGTGTGTGTGTGTGTGTGTGTGTGTGTGTGTGGTGTGTAAATGTGCATGTGTCTGCGTACATGTGTACCCGTGTGTGCATGTGACCTGTGTGCACCTGTGTGTACATGCTTACCTGTATATGCATGTGTACCCACATGTATGTGTGTATGTGTGTACCCACATGTGCATGTGTTATGTGTACCCATGTGTGCGAGTGTACCTACGTGTACGTGTTGGTTCTTGTGCCTCTGCACACATGGTGGTAGTGGGGTGAGGGCTGGGCCAGCCAGGCCTCCTGGGCTGTGATCTGACCTGGACCCCAGGTGTTTGCTTATATTTGTGGCTTCCCATCAGTTGTGTCCCCTCTTTGAGTGAATAACTGATAGTTTGCTGCTCGGAGCCCCCCAGGGTGTCTCTGAAGAAGGGGTGAGCCAATGAGTGTTGGTGTCTGAGCCCCTGACCTCAGAAAGCTGCCCTGAGCGGGTGCACCCAGGAACTAGAGATCCAGGCCAAGTTGCCGGATATGGAATCTGGGCCAGCGTGGCTGCAGGCTGGTGGCCATGGAGGTGTCACAGCCCCCCTGGGAATGTTGGCAGATGTGGCTGCAGAGACATGGAAGGCCATGTTCTCAGGCTTCCCAGTCAGGCTGCACTTCCAGCTTCCTCTGGCCAAAGACACTGGTGGCAAGGAGGCGGTCTACTGCTGCAGTGCCAGCCCTAACCACTAGACCATCCCGCTAGTCCACCCGCCCCATCTCCGTACAGGCTGAGCGACTCCCATTTGTTCTCTCTGCCACTGGCCAGCATGTCCTTTCCCTCCTGGCCCTGGGCGAGCTCCTGAAAGCAGTGCACTGACAAGCAAATATATATATGGCTCATGGGGACATGCAGGGGTCAGTCGGCTTTCGAATTGGCCAGGGTCCAGGTCCAGCCCTTCCCACACTGGGACCACCAGGCCTGTCCTAGAGTGGTGCCCCCTTACTCACCTTGGGCGGGGGCTGGGGTCTAGCCTCTAGCTGTGAGCTGGAGAGAGGGCTTCTTGTGTGTAGAGCCTGGATATGAGGCCACCTGGGACAGGGCAGGGGTCCTCATTCCCACTCATACATTCTGTCACACACAGCCCTCATCCATCACTCACACTCATTCCCACACCCATCATTCACCTCACCTAGCTCTGCACCCATTACTTACACTCACCCAACCCTATACCCATCACTCACACTCACCCAGCCCTCACCCATCACTCACCTCACCCAGCCCTGCACCCATCACTCACCACTCACTCGCTCACCAAGTGCTACTTTGCTCCTGAGAGTGGCATGGCTGACCTCAATCAACCTGCGTACAAAGACTCAGAGTGTGGCTGGGCGTGTGCTATGGAAGAGCTGGGAGGTTTTCTCACCCTGGGCAGGTCCCAGCAGGGGAGCAGCAGGGCTGAGTGCGAGGCAGCGGCCTGCACCAGCTCTCCCTGTGGGCCCCTCTCCAGGATGGCCGGGTCATCTCAGCTCGTTCGCTGGAGGAGACCGTCACGAAGAGTGTGGCTGTGAGAGCAGCGTCAGGGTGATGTGGGCACAGCCCTGGACCTGCGGGCTTCTGGGAAGGTTTTGCTGTGGAGAACAGGTCTTTCTGGAACTTTCTCAAAAAGAGGTTTCCAGCAGAGGGCAGCAGTGCCCTGCGCCTGGGCCATCAGCTGGTGGAACACCCTTTGGCAGACTGAAGGTCGGTTCCAGAGAAGAACAGGGGCTCTGACTGCTGGGCCTGGAATGCCCCACGCCCTGGTGGGAGTTCAGCTAGAGGACAGCCCTGGGAAGGGACAAGGGCTGAATTCCGGCAGAAGCCCCTGGCCATCTGGGCTGTATGTGGCGCTGACTGGCTCTGGTGATAAAGGTCCTGGAGGTGGGGGGGGGGGGGGGGGGGCAGAGGTCTGGACTTGCGGTTGGCCAGAGGGAGGCTCAGTGATCTGGAGATTGAGCAGCAGGGGAGGTGTGGGGTGAGAGGTGAATGGTGGTGAGGGGAGAGGTGGGAGCAGCAGCTGGGGCCTTCTGGTCTGGGGGCTCCTATGGGGTGTCTTATGCCGGCCAGGCCACCATCCCCCGCTTCCAGCTCGGGTTTCTGGAAGTTCTGTGTCATCTCTGCTGCAACTGCTGGCTGAGTCCACTGTGGCCTGCTCACTGTCCCCTGCCCCATGTCAACCCTGTCTCCCCAGGCCCTTGTTCCCACTCAGGCATCTCACCCCGTGTTCCTGGCTGAGCTGAAGGACTGGCCTTGGGTTGGTGCAGAACTGGCACTGGAAGGTCACACCTGGTGGTGCTAGGCTGAGCTGGAGCCTGTACAGTGGCCTGGAGGCATTTTCCCTCATGCCCCAAGCCCAGAGAACTCCCAGAATGACCACCAACTGGGAACTCTTTGGTACTATTGCGGCAACATGGGAAGATGCCATTGTTGACAACATTGACGAGGAATAAGATCGACTGGTTCAGCACCTTCATGAATGTGCGAGGAACGCCAAGAGAGAGATAGCCACAAAAAATCGCCTATCTTCGAAAACTCTTGAGCTAATTCGCCAGCGTGGTTTGGCGCATGCCTCAAGCAACCGCAAGCTAATGTCCGAGCTCGCAAAGCAGTGCAGAGATTTGATCAAGGAAGACCTCAAAGAGAGAAGAGCAGAAGTACTGGTAGATGTGGCAGAAGCCGGGAAAAGTATTCATAACGCCCGCCTGTCCTTCGCCAACTACAAGACCAAGATGACTGCCCTCCGACGTCCTGATGGATCCATCACATCCTCCAGAACGGCAATGGAGAAGATTATCCATGACTTCTACTCAAATCTCTTCGACAGCCATGTCCACTTACCGACATACCAAATTCCACAGGATGGATATGTCGTTCCCAACGTTCTCCCTTCTGAAATCCGACACGCCATTTCGTCGGTAAAGAAACAAACAGCACCCGGCCCAGACAAGGTCAGACCTGAACACCTGAAGAACCTGCCGTCAGTACTCATCAATACACTGGCTCGGCTCTTCACTTGCTACCTGTCTGAATGCAAGGTTCCGTCCCAATGGAAAACCAGCAGGACCGTACTACTGTTCAAGAAGGGAGACATCCATGACATTGGCAACTATCGCCCGATCTGCCTATTGTCTGTCATCTCAAGTTGTTCACTCGAGTCATCCTAAATAGGATTGGCAGAACACTAGATGAAGGACAACCATGCGAGCAAGCCGGGTTCCGCAAAGGATTCAGCACCACCGACCATATCCACACGATAACCAAGCTCGTTGAGGTTTCTCGGGAGTTCAAGATGCCGCTCTGTTTAACGTTCATTGATTTAAAGAAGGCCTTTGATTCTGTTGAGACGGAAGCGGTCACTGAACCCCTAGCCAATGAGGGCATTCAAGCCCAATACATCAGGATCCTCCGTGAGCTGTATTGCGGATTCACTACCAGGATCTCACCATTCTACAAAGAAGTGATCGTTGATGTCAAGAGAGGGGTGCGGCAGGGTGATACCATTTCACCGAAACTCTTCAGTGCCACCCTCGAGAACATCATGCGACGACTGGAATGGGAAGGAATGGGAGTGAAGATAGATGGTCGGCAACTACACCACCTCCGCTTTGCTGATGACATTGTTTTAATAACACCAAACATCAGCCAAGCGGCACAAATGCTGGCCGACTTTGACCGTGAGTGTGGAAAGGTAGGACTACAGCTGAATCTTACGAAGACAATGTTTATGAGAAACAGCCTCGTTCCTG